CTCCACCGTGCATGCATAGTGCACTCTCTATACTCTATCCATCCATCCGTTATCGACCGGCTCTCCGCGAAAGCTTTAATCGAACGACGCGTCGCGTTCCATCGGCCGTTTCCACGCGCTACAAGTAGGTCTCCTGAAAACGGAATCTCGATACAGAACAAGCTGATGGTGGAGCCTGCGTGGACCGCTATGCTCGCGTATATCAGAAGCCAGATGCTCTCAGACATGCGAACCATTTAATTCGATCGCAACCTACGATGACGGGATTCTCTATCCTTCGCGGGTACTTCTCGGTTTTCATTTTTCTAGTTAAAATTAATCGACGCTGAGCGAGAAGTGGTCTTATCGAAAACAGATGCAAAGTTGTTGCGGGACCGGTGCAAGGATGGAAATGGCATTCTCCTGTTTTTCTCGTCTAACGAGGATTTTGTTTAACGAACCACGACTCTCGACGGAGTTACAAGTTACAATGTGTTATTGCTCCGTGATTACGGCTTGTACACTTCTGAAGAACAGCCGAGCGTCGATGTAACGTCTAATGGCGATCCCGGTTCCGTTTGCGGAGCCACTTATATTTGGTTCACGAACCGTTTATTGAATTCCCGTGTAAGGATTCGTCCAGCCGTCGTCAAATAACTGTACATATATCGCGTATATCTCTCGTTTGTATTGTTCACGAATATTTCAGTGTATCTGGATACGAGGCGATTCTTCAAGCGGTAGAATATTCGCCGATCGCGGGAATTGGTTTCAAAAACTGTAGGCAAGGAACCGTTCGCCGTTGTTTTCGCGATCTACCACCGAGCAAAACTGGGTTTATCGCGGTCGCGGGCGACGAGGAATAAGCACCGCTAGTTCAGCGGCAGATGGTGCGAAACCCACAGAATCACGAGCCTCGAGCGTGTAAACAATCCGTGGTCAGGGGCCTTCGCGCATCAATCTTGATCGCAGGAACCGCGGTCACGGTGTCGTCGTCGTTAACTATAAATTCAGCGTTTATAAGGAGCTCGGTGTAACGAGTTTCCGCGGGACGCGCGATGCGGGCCCGCGAGCTTGTACCGCCATATGTCGCTTGTCATCTCGATTATACGCGTACACTACCGATAACTGGTAACGTATGCGCGCGAGTAAAGCGCTTACTTACGTAGGTATACATATACCCCTCCGTGGCAAGATTGCATTACCCTTACCCTTTCTCTTATCCTTACCGGATGCGAACGTTTTTCAATGTGCCAATTTCAGCGTGCCGGTATAACCGTGGAAGCTATTACCGGGATTATAGGTATAACCAGCTACTTCGGACGACGGATCGTTCTTTATTGGCAGACTGTTCGATAAAATTTACGTGTTAGGAGAAACCAAAAACAAAAGAAATAAAAAATTCGTTGACAACGCGGTACAGGCTCTTGACCGTCGATGACTCCGTCTAGTAAGCTGCAGAACTATGCTTGGCATGCTTTGTGTGGAAATCGCGAATAGAATCGTTTTGTCGCCGCATCGTTGCTGGAATCGTCGATCGACTCGTTCGGCTTATCGACTCGCTCGCGTACTACTCAGCAACTGGTATTGGACATGAACAGCGACTCCGGTATTCGATCGTGCCGCGGCTCGTGTAACGCGCTTGAGAATCCGCGAACACGCTCGCGTGTTCGTCTTTCGAGGACCGACGACGAGGTACACGGCTCCGCAGCGATCCTACAAATTCGCGACGACCGATTCGAGCGCGCGCGTTATCCATCAGACAGCCGGTGGAGGATAGAATTCCGTCCTCTAGCACGCGAAGTAAACTTGCGTCGATACAGTTACTTTCAGAATCACTCGATCGGAATCTTCCGTGTCGTACAAATTACCGATCAATTTTAGTTATCGTAGCAGCGTATCGTACGGTTGAAACGATGCTGCATTTTGTTCGAGCGGAGCGTTCGCGATTTTATCGAAGCAAGATATTGCTAGAATTTTTTACCGGACTAAGATAAAGGTTGTGATAAGAAAAAAAAATTCTGTCAGGAGTGGGATTCGAACCCACGCCCACTTGGTGGACTGCGACCTGAACGCAGCGCCTTAGACCGCTCGGCCATCCTGACTGTGTTGAACACTTCTAACATCCATTATAAAGACACTATCATTTAAATATTTTTCTATTATATTTAGAAATCATATTTTTATGTTTGAAAATTAGTCAAGAGATAGTAAATGATCGAAATCTTTCATAATTTAGTATATAAACTTTATATAAGATAAAATTGCTTAAATCAGAATCTAAAATGGAAATTTATGATTATTTAATAAATAAACAAATTTTCTCTTAGATTTAGATATAATTATACCATTATATTATTGTTTTATCACGCGAGTAGAAACAGGAGCGATTTTGGTATGCCCTCTACGTTTTGAAATCACGAGTTTAGTACCAAACTACTAAAGATAAACTCCTTTATTTAAGAATTTATATGTGAAGAATGATGCTAATGCAGGATGTACGATTATTAAATGGTTCGTTGTTGACGCAAATATTATTTACCGTTAAAGAAAAAACGAAAGGACAGGAAATTAATCGACGCAGGCTTGGGCGATCGTTTCAACTTTGCCGACCGTAGTACAGGTGCTTCCCTGCCGCGCTTCGAATTCAAGATTATGCATATTTACATATTCAATCCGTCGAAGAAGGAACTTGTTAGCGTGAAAACGTGCATTTGGCATATGCGATAGGAAACTTTTCCGTTGATTCTTTGACTTTCACTTCCGCATGCAATGCATTTCCAAACGTTGGTTCTTCATGCATATTGTATATGTAATCCGCGTTGTATTGTGTTATCCCATAACCGCCGTTTTCTTTTCTTTTTTTCCAATCATATGGCGTATCCTTGGAGATATCGCTCTTTTCATTCGTTGAGCAGTCAATATAATAATAGTTCCATAGATATTTATTTGCCTATTTATTTTTTATTTATTTAAACATAATCTGGTCGCTCTTTTTTAGACTAAAACAGACCACGTTAATAATTTCAATGTTCCACGGTGGGCGAAGTAAACATTAGTGGGATGCACGGTAACGCACATCAATATAAACAGGCTAACCACACTACATGAACAGTGCCCTAGTGCTAATGAGATGGGCGAAGCAGATGGGATACTTAGCACCTTCAGTGTGTGTCTGTGAGTGAACAACTATGAGTATACAAACAGGGTTACGAACTTTCATACAGCATACACAGATATTTATCGAAGGAATCATTTTTGCGATACGAGTTTTAAGCCGTATCATTCTTCAGACGATTATGTACATTTTTATGAATATGGAATGTAAAATAATTCGACAGAGAAATGACTCGTTGTGCCAATAATTGATTTGAGTTCTTTCTTTTGCCTTTCATAACTTTTCTCTAATCCTGTGTACGAATGAGTATAGCTATATGTAAGATTAAGTTAGGTCTTGCTTGTTAATCGGACCGAGCACGGTGCAACGCGATGTAAGAAAAGGGTAATTATCGTCACTCGAATCGAGAGCGAATTGCTTTCTCACGAGGATTCAAGTTTCGAAGCCGATAAAGCGGGGCCTTCGAGAGCCGACCGGTTCGATTCCTGCGAGCAGGCGATCGCGAGAGACCGGTTACGAGTAGTTACGAGTCGAGCGCGTAGAAAGCTCGGTTGCGTAACGGAAACGCAAACGCAAAAGCGGACGAGAGCGGAATCTCGTCGGGAGCCAGTTTCCGTGGCGATGAACCCTGCTTGGGCCTATGGGACTTCGGACACTCGAGAAATTCGGTGAAACTTTTGAAGCTTCGTTACGGGGGACGAAAGTAACATCGCGCGACGATTTCAGGAGCGCCCGCCCGTTATGTAAACGAGGAATAAAAGTGAAAATGCACCGACCGAGGCCGTGCATTCGGTGATCTAACGAGTGTTAACGAGCTCGAGCCCCGTCGCGTTAATGGCACTTAATAACAATGCGCACAGAGAATCGCGGTTTTCAAATCTTAGTTGAGAGGGAAGACTTATTCGCCACTTTCATAAAGAAAGATTCTATCGACCTCTTCGCGTATGCAGTAGTAACGGTAGTCTATGGCGTTAAATGCAACCAGGTTCAATTCCAGAAGGATGTTCGTTTAACGGGAGGGCTGACTCGATTTCGAAGGGGGAACAGGTGGTTGGTTGATTCGGAGAATGTTCGCGAGTATTACCGCGTTTCCTCCAACGGGTCTCTCGAAAACATTCACGTCAGCTACGCGTTATTTATCCATGGTGACTCGCAAAATGCAACCTCCTATTTTATGCTGTCGGAGGAGAACGAAGGGAAAATGTCACTTTCTATCTCTCTCTCGGACGTACCAACGTCACGAGATGTTTGTGAAATACTCATTTTCCAATTTCCCTCGGCGACCATATTCGCCTCGGTGCACAGAACCGCTAGAATTATTCTGTTAACGGCGACGCGTATCTACGTTAAAATGAGGAAGAACGTTGACAGTTTTATCGCGTTAGTACGCGCTGCCAAGCAAACTTACGAGGCGCTTACTTTTTACACACATGGAAATTGTTTCAAGTATATACCAACAACTACAAATGTCTTCGAAACGTGAGGAACAAAATCAGATGTCTAGCCTAATTGAGATGTACCCAATAATCATCTACATATAGTACTCCTTTCTAAACGATATTAAATAATCCACAAGCATTTGAAAATAGCTACGTAGCTTTAAAAAAACCCGAGCTTTAATGTCATAAAATAAAATTGTTTGTGAAAGAAAAAAAGATGGAAGAATAAATGCAAATTGTCTCGGATGTACAACGTTCGGACCGAGATTTCTTAAATACGCAGACGGTCCGAAGTGCAGGTGGCCAAAATTGTTAGAGTTCCTTTGGAGGGAGACGCCGAAGATGGAGAGGTGAAGGAAATGCATTTACCGTCGTAAAGTATATCGCGAAGAGAAAGGGGGACCGGCATCCGCGAGTAAACGTGACTGCTAACTCGATTCGCTTCATTCAGTGTCCGATCCTTAGTCTCGTGCGTGCGTATTTGTTCCCTTACGATCGAAGGTTCAGTTGTCCGAGGGATAGTGATTACGATTCGGGTAATATTCGAATACCGTCCGAGTTGAGTAAGGCAGGTTGCGAGAAACGAAATCGAGCCTAGTAAGTACGGTCGTAAACGGTTCGCAGCGATCGACCGTCAAATATGCTCGATGGTCTTCGTAATTGACCGATCGACGAGCGAAAATTGCCCATTCGAGGCAACCGATATCTGGTTACCAGCTATTAAAATATGACGTTTAGGGCTTTTATCGAAAAAAGCCAATGAGACGTCTACGCGGAACAAGGGAGAAGCAGTTCGTCGAAAAGGATAGGAAGCATCGTTCGAGATAACAGGATCGATTCGTGATTGTTGGAGAAAATGTATCTCCGTTTAGGCTACGTTTTGCTTATATCGACGTGCATCGTCCACGCGGCAGTTTCGAAAAACGAATCGAACATTTTACGGATAGGGAAGCCGCGAGTGCAAATCGAGACGCGAGAGTCGACCTCGAACGGTAGCGATGCGAGGGAGGATACACAAGGCTCGAAGGGTGGGCCGTTAATTGGATTCAGCAAGAACAATCCGGAGCTGGATTGGAAGAATCAGCTGAAATTGTTCGATGGAAGGAAGGAGACACATCGTGATCTCGACGTCGATTTCATGAAAGAGAAGCTCGAGAGGACAGCCAACAGTATTCAGTGGCTGGCGGATCTTTACGATCCCTTGAAGTGGTCCAGAGTACCCGGTAAACTTGATGACGGATGCAGGAAGGAAATGGAATTGTTCCTCGTGTCTCTCAACGATGGAAAGCTATGGGCCGCCAAGAGTGAGTAAAACCGGATCTCGTACGAGTAGACGGAAATCTATATCCATATCCGAATACGGATCGGGAAGGTTCGGGATACTTGCTCCGTTTCCCGATTTAAGGTCGACCATCGAAAGCGTCTTGTTTAAGTGAAACTAATAGAAAATGCAAACGAGAAATCGTTTTCTATTCGCGATGTAGCGCGTAACTGATTTATTCGCGATGTTCCCATTAACTGGCACAGCGGATACTGTAAAAGTGCGAGAGAGGACGGTTAACAAATTCTACCCCGAGAAACGCGTGCCGTGCCGTGTCGTTGACAGGCACGCGATTGCCAAATGCGTAATTACTTTACGAAACAGTAATGCACTGCTTCGTAACTGTTCGGCCGGCTTTCGTCCTTCCTTCCGTCGCTTTCGTTCATTTCGTGAACAAAGCGGCCGGGAGAATTCTTGTTACGACTCCTACCAGATAACGCGAAAAACCGAATCGAATTTAGGTCTCTCGACGCAGAGGTTTATTAATAATAACTTATTATCGTGATGAGAATTAAGAACTCGTCGAAACTGTAGACTTTAATTATTACAGATGCGTTTCGTTCATTAACTTCGCGCGAAATCGAAAGCCCACGACTGGCGCGCGAATGACCGTTGCCATTTCAGGGTTACGCAATTGCCTTGTTTCTACAAACCGTGGCATTCACCGGGCAGCAGCGAAAAACATTACCACCGATTTCTATACATTTAATCACGTAACGACTTATCTCGGTTCCGTGTCGGATAAGTTAAATAAATTTTCACCGACAAATATCGCGGCTCGACAAAATTTATCGGTTCTCGAAATGGTACATGTGTACCTGGAAACTGTGTATATCGCAATTCATATATCCATCGAGCTTGAATGATTTTGAACGCGTTTATCACCACTTAATCACAATAAATCGCAACTATCCGGCAACACAGGGTCGAAATGTGAGCACGCACGATGGATCGTAATCGATAAAGAACGAAAGGGAAACGCGAAAAGCTCGGAAGGAAGCTGAAATCGATCGTATCTGCGGTCAGGAATTCCGCGGATAGAATCCCACGATTTTCCAGATTCGCGGTTACCTCCGGCAACAAATTGACGCGACACGTCGGGGGTTGGCTATCGACAGGGCAAGAATCACGGTTCGATTCCCCTTAAACCGCAAATTGCAATATCTTTCTCGCACTCTCGTTCGATCGGATTCGATGCTCGACATGAACCTTCTCTTTCGAGTTCGTTATGGGTTACATCACCGCGCGAGGTCGGAAACGGTAAATTTTCCCTTTACTTTTATTTCGCCGTTTATTCTATTTTTTCGAGAGATGTGAATTAACGAGCGCAGACGTGATGATGTTCGGCAATTACGGGATACAGCGTTAAAATTGTGCAATGTTACGATAGTTACGCGAAATACCACCTGAATCTCGTCGCGGCGGTGGAAAATGCTGGTCTGGCTGAAACGCGGACAGGATGAAATTATTTCCCCTCGACCGTAGTATAAATTCGCGTTAGATGCGTGTAATCTGTTACGTCACACCGTAATCTTTCGTTCTGCTCATTGCTTACTACTCATTCCGTAACTCTAAATCGCATCCGTTTCATCTATATAAATTTCACGTTCGGAGTTGTTCAAATTCCTACGATCTCTTAATCTTCGATCAGTCTAAAAGAGTGGAAATGGTTGCAGACAGAAAATCTACACACAGATACCAGCGCATACATCAAATGTATGCTTTAAACGCAGATCTAATGAAGAATCTAACAAGAATAATCGATTTTCGTGTTTTGATGAAGAAATTGCAAGCACGTATAAATAGATCTGGGTGATTCGAGATGCGTTTCATGCGTCGTCGGACTCGTGACGGAACGCGATAATCGGCGATTAATTCGATGAGCAACGTGGAGCATCCTTTCGATCGTTCGCCCTCGATGTCCATAGCAATATCTAACCACGTTACGGGATACGCGTCGCGCTTTCGAACGAACGAGATTCGAGCGAAACTGCGTCTGTTAACAATGCACGATCGTGCTGGTAGTAGGTCGTTATTTCGCGCGTTTACAGACTTCAACTCAAGCTTTCTCTACTCCTGTGGTCACCAGCTGAGCCGGCTCTTTACGTAACTGGCAATGAACCTTTCAGGCGTGGTCGCGAGCTTCGTAATTCAATCTTTGAAAGTCGAATGTTTTTACGTAACCTCCAACGAGAGGAACAAAGGAATTATTCTTTGATTTCAAAGAAAATGTATTTTCAAAAATGTCATTTGCTGGATCGAGCAACAAAAATCGACGTTCTTAAAACGTTATTAACGCTACGTCGAGTAAGGCGCGAAGCTTCCGACCGTTATCAAAGGAGTTAGTAGCTTATCTCGTTCGTTCCAGAAGAACGCCTCTCGTAGCGTTCGATTCGTTCCTTTTTTCCAGTGTCGGATGCGAGCGGACGTTATTCCTCGCAATTCCATTTCGGAAACAGTTTCTGGCTGGGCTCGAGCTCTCTCTGCAAGGAGTTGAACGCCACCAATGGAAAGATTCATCCAAAACTCGACGACAGGCCACCCTACCCGGTGAAATTCCACGTAGCCAAGATGTACTTGACTCTGCCCAAGGAAATCGAGTTCTCTGTAAGCATCCCTCACCGCCTCTTCAATTTTTCTATTCTCCAATTTCTATGCACTGTTTTTATACACTACCCATAATGTAATTTTCGCATAAAATTGAGAAGCGTCGAAAGTGAAAAAGGCCGCGGCTCGGGACTTGTCTTAGTTTTAATCGCGTCCTAAGTAAGCACTTTACGGGTCTCCGACAGTTGCCAAACAAAACTTTCTTCCTGTGGGAAGCGTCCAAGTTACAGCATTTGGGTTAATCGGATTATACGACGTGATGTTTCATATTTCGCGATTAGCGAAAGACGCATTTTTTTCATCGCCAGAAGTTTCCTACACGAGTCGAGTTGATCAGAATATAAAGTCGTGAAAAATTCGAGATGAGATACCGGTTAGGAAACTGCAAATGGAAACTAGGCACGCGCTGAGGAAAGTGGATAATCTACTTAAAAGAAACGCGAGGTACGTTCCCTTAACATCGCGAAAAACACGGTTAGTCCAAACTTGTTGCGAATCTTTCGCAAATCCTTCGATTCGGAGAAGATTACGGTACCACTCAACGCGATGGTTTGGCTCGACGAGTTTGTAGCTGTATCCTACTGTAACTTTCTCGAAACAAGCTATCGACTGCATTTTTCCTGATCCAATCGTGTTTTCGGTATAGCGAAGTTAATTAATCCGCGTGTTTTCGCTGACGTGTTCAATTGTTACAGTCGCGACAAGTTTTTTTGGGCCTCTGTCTACCGGCGAAGTGCGATCGGGTATCTTTGACCTCGATGCTGCGAGCGAGCGCGGATCGCGTCGAACTCGAGGGTAATTCGACTTATCGATCCGGCGCCGGCCCGAAGATTCACATCGTTGAGGTGAAACCTGTGCCCGCAACCGATTACAGCCCCTGGCGCGATCCCAAGTTGTACGTCTTGTCGTAAGTAACGCACCTACTTTTACCTCCTTGGCTTCTTACCGACATAAATTAGCCACGGAAACCGAATTTTCCTCCAGGACAAGTCTGAAGCCTCGTAACGAAACTTCGCATACCCGATTACGTGTTCCGGGTGAAAGAAATTTTTAAAACCGAACACGGTTACATTATCCAGCGACGGGTAACACGGGTCTTTGCTTAATTAGACCTTTTGCGACATACCTCGAACGAGGCGTGACCTGTGCACGAAGAATGCGGCGATCGACTTGCGTGAAAATAGAAAAATCTACGACTGTTTTCCGCGTATGGAGCAATCGGAGACAGGTCGCGGAGTTCGACCGCTTCGAACTTCCAATTCGACTTTCGAAGGCCCTTTCTCCTACTCCCCTCTCGAGCTTCCGAACACGCGAGAGGGAAATGTGTCCCCTGCTGCCAATGAGGTAAACGTGTTTCGATACACAGAATGACTCGTTCAAACTGGCAGAAATGTTCGAACGAGATAATTATATTGGTTAAAAAACTTCACGACCTGTGAAAACACGGTTTTTGTGATGTCTTCGGTCATGCGACCGGAATTTGCGTAACGATTGCATTCGCTTCGGATAACTAACCGAGCAATCAAGAATATTGTAACTTTAAACGTGTAATTATGCTCTTAGGTTCGAGATATACAACAGTAGACGATGTTGCAATCGATTCTAATATACTTCGTGTAAGATTGCTTATCTCTGCACTATGAGAGTACCTCGCGTTGCCATACAATTTCGTTGTACCATTGGAAGGTCGAGGAAAATAGACAAATTCCGTTCGCTAAATTTGACGCGCTTTTACCACAACGCATATGGCGCGCAACGTTCTAAAAAGGGAATGGTACCACCGGGGTTACCAACAACGCGAATCGTAAATTCAACTGGCCACCGGCTGCAACCGGTCGATCTCATAAATTTAATGACTGGACGTTGTCGTTACGCTTAACGAGCTGTATCGGTGCATATCTGTTTATTTATACGAGATATATTTTCTTTTCGACGTAGGGATTGCGACACATCACGGAACGAAAAACCTCTAGCGACCGTGTTCTGATAGATAGGTAGCGATTTTTCGGAGGAAGCGGAATCTGCTTTCTCGTTTTATGAATTAGTGGAAACGAACGATCGTAGAACACGCCCCTCCGATTATTATTACGAGACATTACGCAAGCTGTGTCACATCGAGGCGGGACACAACGCCGATTACATGGTTGGATCGGACAGAAATAGTCTTCCGACCGTTAAAAAATCGAGAAAATAACGGTCGCCTACTTGCACAACTATTCATAATTTACCGTATCTGCAACGAGCAACCGATTTTTTGTAAAACCCACTACGGGATCGTGGATTATGCAAGCGTTGCGCGGACTACGCGACACGGTGAGGGACTCGAGATAATTTTACATGGAACACCCAGCATTTCGCGAGTCTTTCTGGAAAAATGCGACCCAAAAACGCATCTCCGTTGCAACATTGCACCTGGCCAATTAAAATTCGATAAATAACGTTACGTCAGTCATGAAGAGAGCGGGAGAAAGCGAGCGTTTGGTAATAAGGCGAGAACCACCACCGAACGTTGGAAATATTCGGAGTACACGCAACGTTCAAAACCCGTTGAGAACGAAAACGGATCCGTTTCCTTACTTGGAAGCGGAACGAATCCTTGGCAGACGGTATAAGAAAGTCCGCTCTGCGCAAATCTTGTCAAATAGTACGTACGTTCCCAAAACTTTTCACGAATTCCGAACGAAACTTCGCCGACGTCGTCTAGGTGCGACGAACTCTAATGGATCCCGGTGGTTTAGCGTTGTCTCCCGTGCATGCCTCGGTTGGAAAAACTATGCGAGGTGAATCGAAGATCGGTAGTCGTGCGAATACCGCGAAATCTCGTCACCTCGTTCCCCTTCTGTTAAAAATAATCGGGATACTTTTATCGCGAACGTCGGAATTCTTTCGCCGATCACGTTCGCGGTGAATAGATGACACGGGTAAGGAGGTTCCACAGGATGCATTAACTTCTAGCCCGCAGCCTTCGTCCGCGCCGCATTATTATTATCGCCGGTATCAACCATGCAGCTTTCGGCTATAAATAGAAGTTCGCACCTCTTCTCGTCCTTGCACGCGATGCATATTAACTCGGTTCTTGGTAACACAGCGGGGGGTACTCTAAACTCCAAGGCGAGTTACAATCTAATGGCCCAATTCACTGATGGCTCCCCCGACACCGTTGCATCGTCTAGCTTTGTTTTAAGATCAAGGCCACGGATCGCGTCGACGATTTGCGAAACGCGAGAGAATGAAAAACGGAACAAATTCATATTTCATTTAAACGTATATGAATAAAAAGTTCATTATTACGAAAGCTCGCTCTGCGCAAATCTTGTCGGAATAAAAAATTCATTAATACGAAGTTGACATTAAAGGAGACGTGTACGAGTATTATAGAATTTGAACGACGGTGGCACTCCATCCACAATCGTGAGGTTTTCCTTGAAACGATTTCCAAAGGCGCCCCTCGATGAATCGTGGAAACCGGTTTACGACGATTATGCAACGAAAGTTGCGCTTGCGGACGAACCGAGACCGTTTACACCGGATTCGCTTCTCGCGTAGTTTAAGCTCTCGAAGACGTTCGAAATCCGGTCCTTCTGCTATTCAACTCCGTTCGATTTGACCGAGTTGGGAAATTGAATGGGATAACGCGGATCGACAGGTGCATACGGTCTGCAAGCGTGCCGCGAACACGTACGTACGTACACACATGCATATTACGTAAGATCGTAGAAAGGCTGAGAGCGTGAAAGTGGTTGGCGCTATCGCGTACATTCCGCTCGAGCGCGACCTCGCTACCCGTATCGCACACCTGGACTTTTGCTATTTGCGATTCATCGATGTTACGATGATTCATCAATCGACGAGGGTACCTGATGTTTTCAAACAAAATATCCTTTTCTCGACAATATCGAGCCAATGCGTGTCGCCGTTATTTCGCAATGAAATTGTGCAAGAAATTATCTATGCACCGTCGACCTACTAACTTCATGAAATTGCTTCCATCGCAGTCGCATATATTATATTACTTTTGGAAAGGCGTAATCGTGATCAATTCCAAAAATGAAAATAAAAGTAAAATCGTGTCGAGGAGATGCGAAAGAAAATAAAAGTCGTTAATAGGTACAAGCTAAACGATGCTTCCATTATTACTTGGAAGAGGTAGACGTTGCGCATTTCAATTTCAAAATTTGTACCGTAGCCATTTACTCGCCTCGCGTTACGGTTACAACCCCGAGATACTCGAATAACCTCGAAGTGCTAGGGGCTTTCGCGATGCTCGATTCTCCTCGGTTTCCCTCAGTCAAGAACTCGTTACCGCGAGATAGATGTAACAGCCACGGTCGTTTAAGCTCAAAAGAAGCTCGAGACAAACGAGATGCATGCAAATAAGCTTTGGCATAATTGAGGCTAGTTTTATAGTCACTGCTTGGCTGCTTTTTATTCGTTTCACGATTACAATGAATCGCGGAGACCATGGTAAGTTCAAAAGGTAAAACTTGTGCACCTTTTCTCGTGCTTCCATCGCGAAGTCGCGGTCCGCGGTGTAACCCGTAGAACTTTGACGAGAAACTCGATACTCTCGGACTTTATTGGTCCAATCACGAAAGGTAAATAAATGAGAAAAGTAAATACGGTGGCATGGCGATACTTTCCGCGGCGGGCCGACGTCTACGCCGGAAATTTCTTTCGCCTCGCATTTTCTGCCAGACAATAAATATCCTACCTGATATTGCCGCACGTCCGTCGTACGTTCCCGACTTCCGTCTCGAGCCAACTCCCTCTCAGCCGCATCTTTTGTACTCACCCGGACTAACGCGAAAAATGGGAAAGAGAAAGAGCGTTATTTATTGGCCGCTTTCACTCCCGGGAGGAAACGAACAATGCGTTTAATCGACAGAACGTGGATAGTTTTAAAAAAAGTTAAGTCGAAGAAATAGATCGTTGTTTCGATGTGTTTCGTCCCAATTCCTTAGCTCGAAATATTTATCGTACAACGAACTGTTTCATGAACCGTGTACCCGTAAACGATTGATTTTCAAATACATTTGGTTCCGGAAATCGCGGAGCGTATGGTCGCGACGTAAAGTTCTCCGATGTCAAATAATAATTCATAAGATATTTTCATTTCATGGGAACTGTAATAGTACCAAATGTAATCAAATGGAATCAACTGTAAACCAAATGGAATCGTAACTTTTCTATCGTTTTCATTTATCCATCACTTTCACTGTAAACGTGCGATAAATAAAACGACGTAACAGACGTACGGAGTTAAACGGCCGAAGCGGTAAGGCTAAGGTCTTATAGAAATCCGGTTTACGTCAAGGTGCGACGCGCGCGTTACACTACGTACAGATACAATTCATTAACCCGATGATAAATGCGGCTCGCGATCATCAATCCGTTTGTAAACTTAGCAATTTATCAAATTGACGGGGCAGCCGTAGAGGTGAACTACGAATGCGTTCCCGATTCCTACAAATCTTGAGCGCGATAAAAATTTGTAGAGAGGCAACATTCATTACCCGGGGAATAACTTGGCTGCACGCGCGGAGTCGTATTTTAAGTCTATGATTATCTTAACCAAAACAATTGTCCATTCGCCACGTCCATTGCGTAGGGATATCCTCAAACGCTGTCGCATATACAGCAATAAACGCGACACGCGGAAATTTACGAGCAAGAAATACAAAGTCCGATTTCAACGTCGCGATTTATAACCCAGCGTTTTGCCAGGTCTCACGTTATTAAATCAATTATTCGGGAGCATGAATAATTGATATTCTTACAAAAGCCCGAATTACCGTCATACGTAATTCGTCGAGATATCAGTTAAAACGTTACTGCGAAATATAGCTGGAAGAATGGGAACAAAATATAGGTGAGAAAAAGTGTGCCTATCGCGAGGTGTACGTATCGTTATGATTTAAGAGAGGTTTAGAGGCCGACGCCATTAATTTTAAGTTTTAACGCGCGCTTTAGCGCGGCCGCTTCGCTTTCCCGGTGTAATTAGAGCCGCTTAAAATAAACGTAAATTTGACCAGTGAAGGAACAAAAAAAGTTCACTCTATTAAGGCGATCGTGGCGAGGAATACGACGAGTGGTTTCGCGTATACTGTTACAACTAATTTGCTTCTTAAATCGTCTATAACGACACGGTACGTCGCTCTGGACTTATTTGCGTACAGTTGCTCGCAAAATTTTTCAATTTCAGATGTATAGGAGGAATGGTAATACTGTTGATGCTGTGCGCAACGATCTACGAGTACAGAACGTTGCCAAGCTTAAAAGACGTCGAGTCGTCTAGCATTTCAAACAACAATGAGAGACTCAGTAATTTTTCCAACAAGAATCTGAATTTGAACTTGAACCGAGACGGCGCCGGGATGATCAAAGACAACGGAGAGGAGCTGATCGAGAAGGCGAAGAGCCTACAACAAGATCCAAGCGATCGTCTGAAAAAGGAGGTCGGCAAGAGAGGTACCGTATTGTAACCGATTCGCTTCGTCGCGAGCATCTTATCTCATCTGTAACGAGACATCTTTTAATCACTTTCGTCTTCGATTATTTTGTCCAGGGTTCTGGTCGACGTGCCTGACAGCGTTCAATCCGATCACGAACGGTAGCAAAATTATTAGCACCGACCCAGCGGCCAGAGACAGCCTGACTTGTTTGCACGGGTTGCGAGTCCTCTCGTTAGGATGGGTGGTCATGGTGCATACCTATCTTCAAGTTTACGCTATAGCGGGTACGATAAAAGTTCCTAGCGACAACTTTGCCGAGCGATCTTAACGAAATCTTTAAACCGTCAATCATTCGCGTTTTGTCGCGACTCAACGTAACTTGCGTACCGGTTTCCTCGATACACCGCACGAAGTATAAAGCCTTGATCCCGCGTCGGACTTTCACCGATAATTCCACCAGATGATCACTTTCTCTGTCGCAAATTCCAGAGAACAAGTCGCTGCGCACGGTGACGGAACAGAACTTCATGTTCCAAACGATCAGCAACGCGACCTTCTCCGTGGACACGTTTTTCTTCATCAGGTAAAAAAAAAAAGCGATCCGGATGTATATTTCAGGATATACGACCAACTATTCAGGTCGATCCTAAACCCAACCGAATGCTCTGACCTTTCAGCGGCCTACTGGTCACTATCCTATTCTATCGATCTTCCGGAAACTTGAAAAGCGACGACGATTCTGTTTACTTGAAAACGTGTTTCTCGAAATTCTTCATCATGGTCCTCTACAGGTTTATCAGGTGAGCAAAATGAAACTTCTGTCTCTTAAAACTCGACGTGCAAACCATATCGCGATTAATCGTCTCGTTGTAAAATAGAGCCTAAGAATTCAAGATTTTCTCATCATACAGATAGTATGTGCCGGAAGGGTGGATTTTCATTTTATCGGAAAGCCCGAGGCGCAAGAAAGAAAAATTTTCTCGCGAATAAGGCGAGTGCACTATCGATCAGAGCTAAAATCCACGCTACAGATGTTTACGTATCGGCGCGATTTCGTCCGGTATAGAAATATCGCCGAACGTTTGTTAAAGAAAACTGTCCTACGGTCTCTCTGAGATTGACAGTGACCTCACGGAATTTCCTCTTTTCCCAGATTGACACCGGCGTATCTCTTTGTCCTGGGAATCAACGAGATAGCTATCAAGCACACTCTATCGAGGACGGTGTTCTCGCCGGCGATCATCGATCATATGACATGCGAGAAGTTCTGGTGGAGAAACGCGCTCTATCTCAATTCTCTCTACCCTCGCACCGAAATGGTAACGACTCCCCTTTCGATGCTTAACCGTTATAATTAACGATCGTCGAGCAACGCTGCTCGAACCGGATTCGCTGAAATAAGACGAAATAGACGTTGATTCAACACCAAAACGACTAACGTTTCGTAACTGTAGTACCCGATAATTGTTGATTGATTAAAGCAACGCTTGTTCCGAGCGCGCAGCCACTTAATTAGGGGAATTAAATCAAGGATGAAGTCTCCCGAAAGAGGGGAGATCGGGGGGGAAATTACCACACGGAAGTATAAGCTGGCGGGCGAGACGGAGAAGGTGGTCGCGCGTCGCGATCGTTTTCCGATAATTAATTCTATCGGTCGGAGAAAGTGCTAAAGTGGTGGAACTGACAACGTCTAACTGTCTTAAAATTAATTTCGTCGCAGCCCCGAGAAAAAGCTCGAATCGATCGATGAATAAACGAACATCGGTTTCATTTTTTAACTCAGGACAATAGGCAGATATTACGAAAGAATTAACAGAACAGCTGTCATCGTCGGAGACGTTATCGAATTGGTTCCAGTCGATCGAAGCATTGAAATACAACTTATAATTACGCGATCCATTAGCTCCCGACTGAATTCAGCTCGCCCCTTGGCTATCAATTTTCCCGAGGCTAAGATGCGCGCTTGCTTACTTTCCGATACTTTCGCGATTCGATACGAACTTGCCGAACCTTGACGCAATTTTACCCCGATGAATATTCGATGAACCACTTTCGCTGTACAGTGCATGCTGTGGAGCTGGTACATGGCGAACGACACGCAATTCTACGTTCTCGGGATATTCCTATTACTGCTGTCCATCAAGTATTTAAAGGCGATCGCCATGGTGGTTCTTCTCGTAATAGTTTCCTCCTGGTTCACCACATTCTTCATGGCTTATTCGAACGATTACGTCGCCAGGTAACAATTAATCGTTAAGTCACGCATATGCAAATACGTTTCAGTTTTATTTAGTATTAAACTACTTTCCACTTCTCTGAATTACTTAAGCGTCTTGTTCTATAAATCTGAACCAACGATAACGTGGCTAACAAAGCATAAAGAAAACTGTTGCGTAAACTAAAACTTTAATTTCGACTATTTATTCTATCTGTCAGGATCCAAGAACCGTTCGCCCTTTTCGACGAACTGTACGATAAACCCTGGATGAGAGCCGGTCCTTACTTCGTCGGAATTATCACGGGATACATTTTGTTCAAAACGAACTGCAAATTGAAACTGCCGCTGGTAAGTAGCTTCGTTCGGGCAGGAAAAGGAAATAGAATTTGCTTCCGATAATTCTCCACGCGGGTAAATACGCTGCACTGGATACGTACGCGGGTACCAATATACCGAGCATTGTATATTCCAGCGAGATTAAAATCGAAATAACTCGACCGCGAACGAATAAGCTGGTATACGCCACGTTTCAAAAATTTATCTAGCTACTAGTAAGTACGGAACTGAAATTTATAACGTCTTACTTCGCTTCGTGCGATGAATAAAAAACGAATAGGTAAAGAATCTTTGCAGACGTTTCATCGAGAAATGAGGTAGCGCTCCGAAGACAAGTTTAAGCTTGTAGATTAAATAGATACTTCGTGATATACATCCAAGTTGGAGAATTGAACTTCTTTTTAATTTCAGTTCTCAATATACTTTTCCTCGTTCTTATTTTTTTATGGTTTACGGTTTAATTAAAACTGTACGAGATACGAATGTTACAGGTTGTGAGGGCGATTGGTTGGGTGGTATCGACGGCGATAATGTTCTCGTTAGTCTACGGTTTGTACCCGGGAAACTTGACGGTGATGGTTAGCTCGGTGTACGCCGCGTTAGGGCACACCGCGTGGGCTATTGGCGTCTCTTTCATCGTGATCCAATGCTGCACCGGATGCGCGCGAATGATCGACAGCCTCTTATCGCTCAGACTGATGTACCCGCTATCGAGACTGACCTACTGCGCGTACCTGGTCCATCCCGTCATCATGATGATCACCGTTACCCAAATGGACGGACCGTTGCATCTTCACAACGACATCGTGGTAAGCCGAATCACGAGACACGTACGAAAGGAAAGGAGAACTTGCATAGCCTGACGCTCGTTTGCTTTCCGAAGCTGATACTGTACTTGGGCAACCTGGTCGCCTCGTACTTGATGTCGTTCTGTATTTCGATCGCGTTCGAAGCGCCCGTGGTCAATTTGCTTAAGATCGCTTTCATCTCGAAGAAGAGGATCAGGTAGGGAAACACAGTAGCTGCGCGCGATCCACGGTGAGTAATGGACGGGTCGGATCATATCTCACAATAGACTTATCGTTATCGATCTGTCTTCTCTGTTCAGGAAATAATCGTCGTAGCCCTCTTGAAGCGACTGAAGAGAAGAAAAGGTATCGCGTCGCGAGATGTATTGGACGAAAAATGAAAGCTGCTTTCGCGGGTCCGTTTTCCCAACAAAAGCTGCTGCGTGGCTCGAAAAATTAGCTGCCGCGGAATCTACGTCGGACAACGCGATTACGTACATTCGATTTAGTCTCGAGTGGAACGCAAACTGACCGGATTTCTCGCTCGTTTCTGTAACGACGATTTTTTATAGTTGATATTTTCTGTCGTTATCGGAGACGTTTTATTATGTACTCGTTTTTAAATTCGTAACATTGTACGTTAATTGGAAAAGATAGGACGGGCTTGTTTTCCTGATTTTAACGCGATTCTGCTTCCAAATCTATCGTTATCGATAATGAGATACACTTGTCGCGTTATTCGTTGATGCACTCATTAAACGGACATCAGTTTTTACGAGAAACACGCGAATCTGGTCGAAATAGTTAAATAAAAGTAGTATACTTAAGTTTGCTCGTAAAATCGAAACAATAAAGGTCTCATGTTACGGGTTGTTTTCCAAAAGACATTTCCGATAGCCTTTGCACGTATACGCCTAGTTAGTTGACCGCGAACATATGCCGCGAGTACGTTTCCGATGGAAGCGATCGGAAAAGTTGAACCGAAACTTGGACAAATGGCGAAGCACAAGAGCGAAGAAAAAGCCGCGCCACGAATGTCGCGGTATTTACTCGACGACGGATTAAACGAAGACGGACGGAATTGAAAACACGAACGGGCGTGACGAAGAGTTCGTACTTTAAAGTAAAACTTTTCGGAAAACCAAGATGATTGTGTATCGTTTTCCAGGACTCTGGACATCGAGGACAAATGTTTGTACAGTTTTGTACACAGTTGTTGAAAGGGATGTTTCATTTTCTAAATAAATCCGTGCGTCAAGCCACAGGTGTTTGATTGACCTCCTACTCCTACCAATACGGAATAGTGCAAATAGAATCGCGTTTGACGTAGATCAAAAAGTCGATACGGGGGAAAACAAATAGTATTTGTTTCACATCGATTCCACTTTAATCATAGGTTTCGAATTGGATAAAGGTATTCGAACAAAACATATTTTTCAGTTTACTCTTTTAATCAACGATTGTAGCCTAGCGTTATTCGTTCGATGGACTCGGTGAAAACGTTGCAACACGTAACGGTTGGCAATTTTCATCGGAGGATGTATTTTTCGTAGAGAGAATAAAAAGGCAGTTTTAATCGGTTACGTGGCGACAGAGCGTCACGCAGCCTCTCGGGGGTGTGACCAGTACAAAGGGTTTGTTTTTGCTGGCTACCATGCCGAACCCGCTGGCAAAAAAGCCGAATTAATCGCCATTTCGGAGGAAGAAAGTTAATCGCGAAAGAGTTTTTTATTTATTTTCACGTTGTCCCAAAATGTTTCTTAATGAGTATGGAATAAACAGGATTCATCATCATCTCAAGGAAATTCCATCTTCTATTTGGATCGCGAAAAGATTCTGATTTTTCTCGGCGTAATTGGCTGTGAATCGGATGATAGAATATGCTCGACGTTCGCGTAAGTATAAGTCGCGGTTCAATCCAATCGGTGTAAGCATTCTTGATCGCTTTTCTAGCAGCGGACGCGACTTCTACGATCTCATATCGATCGCTATTTGCCGGCGACATAAAACTTTTACGAGTGGAAGTGATTTAATCGAATATATTGCCCGTCGCTCTTCTATTCTAATAAACTATAAACTACATTTCAGAGAACAGAATCTCAAAGTTCAATAATCGGAGTTCTTCCGTCGTATGAAAGTATCGAATTCGTGATTTCCGAGAGATTTAGATCTCTACATAGGCCGACGACGAAATCGTATGTAAATCGTACGACGAGCCGTTTCCAATTTGTATTCGAGTAAATAGATACAGTTAATCGGCATGATACAACCCTACGGAACCGAGGCACTAATGCTAATACAAATGCGAGCATTCCTACGTTACCACTCCAATTTACGCGTGTAACTGTACATGTATAGTACACGGTTGCAAAGTGCGTCGTTCGAATTGAATTCGAAATTCTCATCAATTCTCGCCTGACTTCATCTTCTCGTTCGAGTCGGAACGGTAACGAATAGAGAACCTAACGCTTTGGCCTGGCTGATCGAAACCGAAGTTATTACGTAATTGAAGTGGATTCACCGTCCTACGACGATCTGTCCGCGACAAACGTAATGCTTGGAATCGATAGATTCAACGACCCGCAACGGAAATAGCCGTAGTCAATTAGGAATATCAATGAACGATGTACATATCTACTCTTGTACAATAACATAAATGCAACAGTTTGGAAAGTGACGGGAAGAAAAGCTACGATTAGTGTTCTGTATCCCGGAAGAGAAGGAACACTGACGAAATTGGTTTTCGTTACCAAGTATTTAATTAATTCCGCATCGTTTCTCGTCTACAAACATTACTTGGAATTTACACACGCCGAATTGTACGCTCTCATTACTTTTACGTTTACCGTCGACCAAGTTGCGCTTTATCCTGGTTCCATTCAATTTTCCGGAATTCCGAATGCTTCGCGATGCTGAATTGAAACTCGCTGTCGCTCGCCATGCGGTAGTTCGTCAGCAACGAATACATTTAAATGTGAAATCAAGTAAGTCCAACTAGTTTGCCGTGTACGTCACGATTAACAATTTGAATATGAGAGACGAAAACGCATTCTAATACTGTTGATTCATGCACTGTAATTTTAGACTGAAGAGGTAACTGACTCGATACCTTTCGGTAGGTCTTAAAACGAGCCAGAAGTATCTCTGTGTGAAACCAAACCTAACTTCGACGTGATTGTACGCAGTGAACGACCGTCGGGTTCATTTCGTTTCGAGCGTTTTCGCGGTTGAACGATGTCAGCTCGCAGTACTCGGTGTGCATGGTATATAGTAGAGCGACACGGTGCAGAGGTAGATGTGCGCTCGGTCGCAGATGCACCCCCGCCGTTTGTGCGTTGTCACACGGACGTCATCGGATTAGCTCGGCAATGTAAGCGAAAGACAGGTGGGCGATAATCCACCTGGGTAGAGCCGGATATATCGCGTACGCGTATAGCAACTAGATCTATCGTTTCGAACGAAACTCGGAGAGCAATAATCGGCTAGGCCCCCTGCGCGTTCAACCGTTTAACGTACGCGTACCCGTTGTTCGTGGATAATTAAGACGTCTATAGTACGTGCGATAAGGTGGTATAGCGTACGCGCACAGATGTACGCAGCAGCGCGGAAATTAATTTATCGAACGTGCACCCGACGAGATATTAATTTAGTTGGTGCACGCGAACCGCAATTTCCTCGTGGTTTTCTAGTTTTTCTCGTCTCGATGCGACCGCGGCGCGGTGAAAATAAAATATTCGTGAGACAGCGGCGGCATGCAGAAATGCCTCACATATTTTACAATATCATCCTTTAAAGAAGATATATTCGAGTCAACGAGAGTCCCGTATTTCTCTTTGAGTTAGAAGATATATCTCCGTCAGGCGCAAAGTTCTGCAGCCTTACTCGGTTTGCGTTATTTTAATTAATTCAATCAGGCTGTCCAAGAAAATTACGTTTGATATAATAATATTATAGGGTTCGATTTTGGAAACGAAGTTCGCGCTTGCAGTTAATCGAAACATGCGTGTCTCTGGGATACTTGGATGCGCTTAACGATGTATAGGCTGTATACTTAAACAATACTAACATGTTGAATTTGTTATTATAGATTCCTATTACTATTAAAAAGCTACCAGCAAAATTTTAAATCAATTCATGGGTTTTTTGAAAAATTATAGTGACTTAAAACATGCATGTACTCTTATGGTAATCAGCAGCAACCCAAAGAAAACTTTTTGGTATTTGGTCCGCAGTTGGAAGAAACAACCGACTTGAGGAAATACAAGCCTAAAAAGTCTTGAATTTTTAGAATATAATTCGATATTTTTCGATATTTCGAAAAAAAACAAATTTTTAATTTTTCCGAGATTTTTCCAAGGGGTACCCCTTCAGATTTCGCGAAATTTTCGTTTTTTGCCAATAACTCCCAAACCGCTGGACATACNTTTTTCGCCGGCGTCAATAATTAATTGGATATTTCCTTCTATACTTTTTCGCACGTAGCTATGTATTAGCTTTATTCTTCCGACGTCTTCTTTTTAATTATAGGAAATGCGTTTTTCTAAGGTACATAAACTTTTCGGATTGACTGTGTAGCCAATACATCCTTAAACTCGAATCGACGCGAATCGCATTAAAAATTTTCGTTCTCGTCGAGTTATTAGAATAAAGTCGAGTAAGTGAAAAGCTTGTTCTCGAAAAGCTACTGGGATATACGCTCAACGATCTACCAGCTGAAGTTAGACTTCGTTACAAACGACTGGTGCTTTTCTATCTACGAATTCTTCTTTTCGGCTAAAATGCTATCCGGTGAAAAACGATCAATTTCCATCGTACTGGTACGAGAAAAATAGATATCTCTCTATCGCGAATAGATTTAAATTGTTTTCAAGGAGGTTGAATGATATCCAGCCTGGACGATCGTTATTCAATTTCAAAACGAAGTAACTGCTTGGATAAAAAATGAAGCGGTCAGGTAGATCTGTGCGGGGATGAATTAATGAGAGACTCGCGGGTTGGCCGACTTAGAGTATCGAAAACGCATCAAGGGAAGAAGAGTATCGAAGAAATCGTGGGTGGCGCAAGCGCCAGGGACGTGGCGCGGAGCAAGAGTCGCGTTACTCGCGTTTCCGCGATCAGTCGGCCCGAAGCCGTCGCAGACTTAAAGCGTGAGTCGTAACTTTCCCTCTGTTGACTCGCATACACGAGGTTTCGCGCCTTCGCCATCGTCATCCGGACCAATTTTACGACCCTACTTTTAAAACGGTCTTTAACCCTTGTCAAATGCGGAATTCGAGTGTCGCATGAAACGTTCGTCCGACGTACAACGTGCATTCATAAATAGGATGGACTGGTCGGAATACGGGATTAACCGTCTAGGGGTGGACTAGAATACTACAAGAAGAGTAAGAAGCCGGAGGATATTCGACGGTGTCGAGGACGACTCTAGAAGAACGTGACTTGAATCGGAATTACAATCGGAATCGGACGGGAACCTGATGTTGATTTCCTAGGATGCTCGGAGCTCCATACCCGATGTACAGCGGTGTCAGTGACAGAGAATCGATGCGCTCTCGGTGCCCTGCTAACGAGTGAACGGACGAAACCACGTGTAAATACGTTGCCGAGTCTGACCGCGACCCGGCGTAAACGTTCTCTGCTGTTAGCAGAATAAGCGTCATCGTCTCGAAACGAACTCTGCGGAAGAGACTTTCCCGAGCACCGAATGCCCGTTAACGATCTCCAACTAAAACGTTTTCGATCGGGAATCTGGACGTTTATTGCCTGTGGCTCCTGCGAATCGAATAAATTCCCGCGCCAGCGAGAGCATCGTTGTCGAGCGAAAATTCAATTAACGGAACAATGAACGAACGGAGATCTAGTAACTAGAAAACGTGAACAATGCGGCCAGTTCGCACCGTGTAAGCGGTCCACCAGCCAAAACGCAAAGGTACGAGCGTTGCTGCACCAATTTCGGTGCACCGCTCCATTCCCATTTCATAAATGTTTCATGTTTCGCAACTATGTAGGAATAGAAACGGTCTTTCAGCGATTCGGCCATTGCGCTACTTCTACTGTTAAGTCATTAATTATGCTTGCTAACATGTTTATGTTTCGCATGCTGCACGTGTACGAAGCAAACATTCACTGTTCCTTGCCGCTATTCGTCAACCATTCGAATATCGGCGCGAGCTCTTTTCGCAGTACAGAACTGCGTATCGGCTTTCGATAGCCAATTTCATTGACTATTCACGACCGAGGGATATCGCACTTTGTATCCTATTCTCCGATTGCGACTGTGATACGCGATAATCCTACTACATCTGCTACAGCTACCCCTTTTCACTCCCCCTATGCTTTACTCTCGTGAAAATTTTTAAAGCCGGCTATCAGAATTATTATTAACGATTCCTGTACCGGTAGTAGTCTTTTTTTTTATAATCGTACGCGCGTAGCTATAGCAACTTATCGTTATATGACGACGATTGATATTCCGAGCGCAACGGCCGTGCGACGCGCCGATGAATCGCGTGTCATCGAAAATCTTTCCGATAAAAATTGGGACGGTAACAAATATACAGTTGATGAAGTAACGAAATTTTCGATGAGAATTCACCGGCGCTTTATTAATGCAAATTCGATGAACACGATTCTGACAATTAGATTCTCGATTCGCACAATGAAATTCCGTATCGTCATATTAATTTCCCGACGCGAAGGGAGAAAAAACGAACGTATCTAGAACGTATCGTATCGAGGCTCGAGCGTTTGAACCGCGTACACAAGTAATTTTCGCTCGGTCCTTTTCGACCCTTCTGACTCGAGCGCATCGCGACCTAATTATACCGACGCGTGTAGTATCGTGTTGGGACGAACGAATCGTTTCCGCGTATCTTTCCTAACTTTATGAACTTCCAGCGCACACGGTTTTTCAGTAAAATGTTTTACAGAAGGAAGTCTTTATTCTCCACGAGCTTTGTTACGACGGAAACCAATTTCCTTTGCAGATACCTGCTACTAGTACCACATAAATTTCTCTGGTAGCACACCTTTTGTAATCATACGATATTTGCGAACAGCGGACGTTTAATTAAAAATTATATACGAACCGCTGATGAATTAAACAAACAGCACACGGATTTTTTAATAATTCAGACGGCGAGAAACCTGCATCGAATTTAATTCAAGCGAAATCTCGGGTTTCGGTTTTGGAATGAAACCGAAATCGGAATAAATGTGAGTGGTTTTAACGTTTAATCGAACCAAAGCGGCGCGGATCGTTGAGGCGCAACGACCAGAGAGGAGAGAAAACGCTAATCGAGGGTAAACGACGGTCGCTGCATCTGCTGCAAAATATCCACCGAAAGAATCTATTGAACGTCATTGCCGAACCCCCTGATTCGATTCTGCTTTTCACAATTCGGAATTGTTAATCCGGTTGAGTTCGATTACACGCCGTGCAGCGCGTACGGATAATATAACCAAATCGATGAATCAAAGCTGCGAGGGAGGTTCGCTTAAAAAAATAATGCGGAATATCACGTATTCAACCATTCTTGTTTTTTCGAATCGCACGAATATTGGAGTAATTGTAAACGGTGAGCTGGGATTTGAATATTATTGACGAGTCGACCGCAAATGGAAACTGGATTTAGTTCGAGTCAATTTACCCGGGGAATCGGTAAATACGAACAGATCGATACCTCGTAGTTGCGTCGGCCATCGTTCATCGATCGAAACTCAAGGTTTTGATCGCGAACGATACGTCGTTTTTTTATCCACGAGCTCCCTACTGGTTTCGTGGCAGTTCGCAGTTCTTTCCAATTTCGAAATGGCTCGAGTCTCGTTCCAGCGGAATTCCATTTAAAATTGATCGCGACGCGACGGGGTCACCGGGTTAATGATAGCAGAAACAACGATATTCTCCAATTCGTAGATTCTTTCATAGTTTCGTTCTCAAAGGTATCGTTTTCATTCGAGAAAAACATTACGAGTAACTTTCGGTCGTGAATAAAATTTTACCTCTGGTGCCGCTACCGACGACTTCGAGGAACGAAAAGTTGCCGGATGAACGGCGAACGATTTTAAAGCCGGGCAGGCGCATAAATTTCGGGCGAGTAGAACAAGGGGAGGCCTCGCGCCCTCGGGCGATGAAATTTCATGGGAGCGAGGCGTCCAAGTTTAATTCGCACGCGCACACTTTCGTCCTTATCGTATCGGTGAAAATAATCATCATTAAAAGTTGACGGACGTCGGGTAGGACGGCTAAATTCGCTACGAAATGTCTCGTGAAATGATAGCACCGAAGTTCCAGGGATCCTCCTATCCTTTGCATTCTTGCACTTTGGCACGAGTTCCGTGTTTGATTCGCCTCTGCCAAACTTTCCACGCTTGCTTCAATTCCCATCTTTCGCTCAAGAGTAGGCAGGTACATATTCCATATTGTTCGGCGGCCGAGGGAATGGACTTGCCTCGCCGAAAGGAGAATCGAAAACATTGATTTTCGTTCCAAGCGACCCTCTTTCCGTTTCGCCATTCGTAAATCAAAGTTGTGTAAATATTTCCAGCGACACGTCCATGTAATCCGCGTAGTTATAAATATTTCGCGACAAATCGCTAAAAATACAAAACTGATAGACAATGATATTTTACGCGCAAGCGCCCCCATTCTAATCGCCCAGAGTCCGGACAAACCTGCTATTGTCTCGCGAGGCACGCGACAGGTACGCGGATATAAGCCAGAAAAACGAAGCTTTGTCACCGTTGCCCCATTTCTCGTCCCTGGCGATCGATCCTCTAATCATAGCTTCATACTGTATGAAAACGTCACGAGTTAAAAGCTAGAAATTAATACCGGATCCTAGCTGAGCAAAAGAAAGCGACAGCTATCAAAAATGGACTCGTCTACGTTTCTCTCGTTTCTCGTACGCGATATTTTTTCCCTCTGTCTAATGAGAATTATCATTCATTCTTAGTTTACGATAACGATGCAGCTGGTGTCTAGTCGACTCCATTTAATCCGACGATCCGGTGATCATTGACCAAGATCGCGATGAAAGAGAACGCGCGTGTGGTGGCTTTCGATGAGGAAAAGCCCTCGTGCTAATAGAGTCGAGTTATAGGAGTCTGAGAAACGCGAAGCCACGTAGAATCGGTATAAACTTGCCCGGTTATGGGCCACTCGAGCGTCATAACCCGTAATTTTCGAAGCTCTCCTCGCGCGCATCGACCTCACGCTGCCCCTATGCTAGACACGCAACTTTTTTTTATGTCGCATTAGTCCGCAAACCCGCGCCATAGCGTTGGTAATCAACGGTAAAGATAGATAATTGAAACTCGACGAGACGCTCTCGTCAGATCTTTTTTTAGCATCGTTCATAAATAAATGCTTTTTACGAGGCATCGTTCGCGACAATTACGAATACGAGTTCGGTCTCCGCTTTCATAAGCTTAAAGAGGGAGCAAATTATTTTCCGCGTAGACTTCGTTACACTCGAATCGAATCACAGCGTCGGGTCGCAGCGATTACGCAAATTTATTTCTTAATTAAACGGTAACGAGTCAATTTAACGGCAAGGTTTTTACTCGTTTCTGGGTCAATCGTGTTACCTAAGTACATACGTAGGTACCTCCTACTGGTATTGGTAATGGAAAGAGAATTCAACGATCCGAACGAGCGTTGCTGGGGAACGGTAAACTCGCTAATCAAAATGATTTGCGTTTTTATTTTCGAAGACGCGGAACGGAAGCGCACGGAGTGGAACGATCTGCGATGCGTCGCCATTCGAAATGCCGGGGTGATACAGGATACGTCAAATTCCTAATACCACGAGCTATTTGAACGGATAGCATCACGGATTCCTGATAACGTATACTACGCAGTACTACACTTCTCGCTAACGGCAAAATATCGGGCTCCAGAGGAGTGTAGCGAGGACGTGAAAAAAATTCCGAATACGTATTCATTCAAACGCATTCATTCTTGCACTCGCATAACTAGGAAATATTTGACGCGTATGTCATCCATTTTCATGTGGATTTTTACGAGGCAACGAGGGCGGATCGAATGCGCTTCGGATAATCCGCGATCCTCGTGAGAAATTTAAAGAGAAACACAGAAATATTCTGACGGTAAGTTTTCATCTCGAGGAAGGAATTGTCCCGCTTCTTAAATATTTCATAAAGGGCAACGTTCTCGTTGCCGCGTTGACAAAGAAAAAGCTCTCGAAGGAGAATGCTCGCAATGGCTAGGCGTGCCAGAATTTCAGGTCGCGCAAGTTCATACACGATGCGACTAGCTTCTACACAAATAAGTCGAGAACTTTACACGGCCGATAATATCTATGAAATTCTGTGAACACGGCCGAAGTTAATTTAACTAATTAATTTACCAAACTAAGCGCATCGAGCTTCTTCGGTGCCTTCGGTATGTACGACGCTTGAGCAAAGAAAATTAATTTTCGAATTAGGTACCTACTCTTACGTTAGAGCCGAGACATTCGCGATAGTCGAACTACAAATTTAAATGAATCATCGTTCTCTCGTTTCTCTTATTCGACGTTACCCGTTTCGATGCAGACGCGACAAAAGTAAGCTCGATTCGAATAAATTTTAATCAACTGTCGCGCGACGCGGAAACGCAGCTGTCGACCGCCAGTATTAGAATGTTTAGGGATTTGAACGGAATCGAGTTTGTCTCTCGTGGAAATACCGGGCGGGCGAATTCATGCACGTATACATATAAATGCTTACACGGGTGCGGCAGTCTGCGAACTCGGAGACCTAAATAGCTCGACATAGGGAAAACGGCACGTTATGTATTAGTCGTTCTAAAATATTTTATGAACGATGGCGTGTTTCCCTGTCACGCGCGATACACGCTCACTTTCCAGTGGAGGAGGTGCTGGTCATAAAATGAAAAACGGAGTAATGGACGAATAAAGAAGGTGATTGCGGGAGGCAAAAGAGAAGAAAGACAGGGCTGAGTAAAGATACCTACTCGAGCTGCAAAATGGTCGAGCGAAGAGGACGACGAGAGAGGAAAGGAACGGACGGAGTAGAGCGGTAGGTGGAGAACGGAGAGACTGTCAACGCTCTCCCCGGAACGCTTTCAACCCCTTTCGAGCATCCTGAGAGGAACTAACGAGGCTACCGGTGACAGTGTTCTATTTCTACGGCCGTGGATTCTCTTTTTCGAGCTTCGAGTTTACGACGCGAGTGCCAGCCACGCGTTTACAATAGGTAGTCGAGAATGGTCCGAGGCCAGGGCTCAACACTCGGAACTCGGTATTTTATTCGCGACTACTTAACCTTTCCCTTGTGAACTATTTCGACACGAAGCGATGTATTAGAGAATGATTTTTTTAACGGACCGTTAAACATTTGTTAGCAAAAGCGATAGGAACGAACGTAAACGGAACGCGTTTATCGAGCAAGATACAAGTAAGAACGTATCTCGCTTCGTAGTCCGAGCGAAACGACGAAAGTAAACGGCGCGTGAGGTGTACGGTAGCTGGTTTGAAGTTTAAACGAACGTTGATAACGGTCGCTATCTGAGATGGAGCATAGAGAGACGCGTACGACGTAGAGTCAAAGACTCAGACAGAATCCGATAGACGGAATCTAAAACGATAACTAGATATGATGTAATAAGACCCACTAGAGACTCTTCGACGCTGGAGAACTGAACGAAACCGATCGGTGCGGTACTGAAACGCCGAGATTCGAGATAAATGTAACCGAACGCATTTCAATTGTTTCTGTCCCCTCATTTGATCTTTTCACTCTGTTATCGTTCTACCCCGTTCCCATTTTCGCTCCGATTCGATTCCCCACTTTCGTATTGAATGGACACGCGGAAATGAATTGGTCGGCCGATAGCGTACTGATAGATATAGCATTCTATACATATAACCAGCTATTATTGTGTCACATTCTGGAACCTGGATCGAAAAGAGCGAAAGATCGAAAAGAGATCCACGTTGCGCCTCGGCGGAAAAATTCCGTTTTAACAGACTTTCGAAAAGCTACTAGTTCAGGTCGAGCGCGAATTAAGAACGTAATTTTTTATGACGACGAAGCGAGACTTCCAACAGCGGGAAAAAAGAAAGACAACGAGACCGGAGAAAACAAGCGTGAAAATGGAACATCCGTCTTCTCCGTAATTTGAAACAGTGATTTACTCTCTCCTCTGTCCTATCCATTATCTATCTTCGCAAATAACGATTAATCGTCGCAGTCACAATCGCATATAAGTAGTTCCTATCCGACAGTGACGATGGAATTAAAATGTACCAACTAGATTGTTGCAATCGGTAAACGTTAATGAAGTTCGGATACTTGCGAGAAAATCAATGAAAAACATGCCTTTGTCGAAGATCTTGTCAGGTAAATATAATTTGCTGTTGCCAGTGAAGAGTTAGACGGGCATGCGAGAAAGGGTAATGGATTTCTCCGTTGTTCCTATTCAATGTCCTCTTTATTCGACGTTCGGATTTCGAATTGCTGGTAGTCCCAGTTCTCCAAGAATTCCATTTGTACAACGTCGACTACTTTGAATTTTGCTAGGAACTTCGTTATCGGGTTTACATAGAATCGGCACGGTGTGCAGCGTGCTCGAGACGTTAAAGGATATGGGCACTCCCGTTCCTCTGAAGCAGCGAAAACGCGGCGGTGAACAATCCTGAAGCGAACGGAATTAATTGGATCAGAAATATCGGATCGGTGACGTTTGATGCGCTAGCGCCTAACGAGCGGACGAGAGACCTCTCCTTTTTTCCAAGCGTGTATTATGCGCCCGTTAACCCAGTTTACGAATCTCATTCCAGTCACGTTCGATATATCGGCATTATATTGCTATTCCTTTAAGACGTTGACCAAAGTTTGGAAACCGATTTATGACTACCACCGAAAAACTATTGCTCGTCCCTATGTCTGTGTATCTAAGTCTGAGTTTCGGTCGCGATTTTATCTCATGGGATTGCAAATGGTACTCACAATTAGTGACAGGTTAGTAGAACATTTAATTGTGACTACGACCAACGAGACACGTTTAGGAACGTTTAATCTCACAAACTATTACGGGAGTAACTTGCTCGCACGATCTGTTAATTATACTCCCAAAACTACGCTTGAAATACGACTGCATGTAAGCAAATACGAGAAACATAATATCAGGAGCATGTTGGGAGTTGTCTAAATTGTCTCGAGCAGATAAACGAAATCTATAATTTACTGCCGAAACTCGGGAAAGATTGGCGTCACGTTCTTCTTTTAAAACATTACAGTAGGCTGACCTTTACGAGCATCGTCGTTCTTGGAATTGGAAATCAGTCGTTAATGGTACCGATGGGAAAGCACAATTTTAATTGCGTTAATTGATTGCATAAACAACGAATAATTGACAGAGAATCACGCAGGAGAGTGAGGAAACTTTGATTGAACAAAATACATGCATGAACAGCGTAATAAATTTGTTTTCATACCGAATAAATGCCTGAAATATCAGAACGTTGGTAAAAGTGCTTGAAATTCTGCGATATGCCGTTTCATATAAATTATGCGGCCGAAATCCGCCGAGTCGGGTAAAATCGCATCGGCAATTCGTCACGCGTGGAAGCATGTACGCGTTTCCGAATTCGAACCACGATCTGCCCTTTATGTTAAGCGCTTGCCAACTTTTCCGTCCCTCGTTTTTGTGTGACACAGCCCCCGATCTATCACCGAATCACGTATGAGAAACGGCGAGCGTTATCCTGACGTGAAAAAAACATTGTGCGGAGAAAATTGAAATACGCTATGTGTCCCAAAATTCTTCCTCTTTTTTCCACTTGCTTCTTCTTATAAGTCACACTATATTATAGGAGTTACCATAAAGCGAAAACGACCTGCGGTGAGAGTTTTCTTTTATTTTTAACGCGTACCTATAAAACACCGGACGTACGTACGATTTGTATACAATGCATAAAACGGGAACTAAAGTGTTTGTATTCGGGATAAGGCGCACTTTATTTTAATTTTATGAGAACTAATGTTACGACCACTGAATTTCGGTATAGCGATCCTTATTGCGCAAAAGCATGATAAAGCCACTCATTCATAACGTACGAATGACAATTCGTCGAATCAGATAACTCGACTTCGTGTTCCTGTCGATCGTACGCGTTTGCAAAAACATGAATCGTTACGTTTGGGAGAAACAAAGAGAAACTCGTTTAGCGTTACGAATATCGCACGAAAGTTTACTATTATCGAACTCACACACGAGCATAAATGTTTTATTGTCGAAATTTGTTCGGTTTTAGTTTTTCATCTGTAGTTACCCCTTTTTCCGAGTCCCAAATAGAAAACCGTGTGAATTTAAGAAAAAAGAAAACAAGTTTGGCGCAAAAACACGAACTGTTACATCTCGATGGCTACAGCGTTTATTTTTCCCGCTTTTATGGTTTGCTTTCGACCTATTCGAACGTTAATACCTGCGAGCGAGTAAAATAGAAAGGATCTCGTTTCGTTTGACGCGGTCGGGTGAATGCGGCGACTCAAACGGAAGATGTAAAGGACTTTATTCACGATATTAGAGTTAATTTCGCTCGACCGGCTCGGAATTTAATACCTCCGGCACGCGGATTCCTTTCCCGCCTAACGATATTTCCCTGGGCAACTTTATTTCGAGTCCGGGTAAACGACAGGAATATTGCGACTGCAGCTCTCTTAACTTCGAAGTCAGACGTTGAAGACAATACGGGCGGGACGACGACGACGCGTTTTTGACGTGAGCACCACGGGAGCATTAACGTCGGTCGCTTCGTTTAATTCTTCATCGAGCAATCTCTGCGCGCAACACGAACAACGCTGCGAAATGGGGCACGCGGTTGCGTTCCACTTCGAATATTGGTCTCGTTTCGAGAGCAGAGAGTTGGAACGATGGTGGAACGTACCATTTTAAACGAGCCGTGATACCTAAGCGTGAGTTCATTAATCCCATTGACTATGCCAATTAAACCGGCGTTTTTTAAAATTTCGAGATTTCTACTCAATAACTGCACGCGCAAATTCTATTCAATGACTACACGTGAAAATACTATGTCGAAAAAGAGAAATAATTGTTAGAGCGTTTGTTTCATCGACTTGGTGCAGTATTTATACAAGACGTTCCGAACCGAGACGAAATGAATATTTTATTATTCCATCTCTACTTTCTGTACGAGATGCTCCAACGTACCTAGATGCGGTGCTCGTGATGAGAGAACTGACTGAAATTCCGTTAAGATATCCGCTCGATCATCCGTAATCCAACGAGTCGGAGATAAACGAGCTTGAGAATTAAATGAGTTATCGGGTAAACAATCGAGCGAACAAGCGAATTGAAAATTACGCTAAGCGATCGTGGTAGGTGCAGGCTATTAAAATCATTAACATCATAATGGTTACGGGAAAGTTTTGGGACCGTCCAAGTCTAATGGATGCGACCTACGCGGTCTCCGAAAATTACGCCATGGTTTGCGCGATGCGCGCACGATCTTACGTAAGTACACATATGCATACATATACTAAATATGCATCGCATCGTATCGCGTCGTATATTTTAAGTTACAATGATTTATTAGATGTAGAGAAACGTATCGTTTCTGAATATTCTCCGCACTTCGCTCGAAGAGCAAATTTTCAAGTAAAACGGGACATTTTTCTCGTTCATGTTTCTTAGAAATTCACTGAGCCATCGTGTTTCATATAAAATATCTCGCCGACTTGTTCCGATACTTTATAACTCGGACGGAACATTCTTATGCTCCTTGAATCCATCAAGCCGTAATCGTTAAGATACAAAGCAACGCAGAGTTAGCTTAAGTAGATCGCGCATCCTATTTTTCAAAAGTTAATGAAGCGTTCATTAATAATGCATAACTTTTGCTTCATTTTCTTGCTACCCGATCTGGGTCGAGTTTTTAAAGACGGTCCAGTGATTCGATAGACAGCCGAGGGATTATGTCCTCTACCTTTTCTAGATGGATTACACCACTCCGACGCGAGAATAAATTTTCATGGCGATTATCGTAATCTATCAAAGAACCGTGTACCCATTTCTCGATGTAAAATTAAGCGACGTTCAATTGCGCTTTTACCAGGGTAAATCATGAATATCAATTTTCGAACTTCAGAAGAAAAAGAAAAAATGATGACGTTAGAAAACGACTTGGCTGTTTAGGATTGGAACGAATTATTTTGTAAGACATATTCGGTAATTTCGGATAGAGCATTTTCAATTAAAACTTAATTTGTGTTTGCAATATTTCCAGTTTTCGTTCTTCTAACATTTACTCAGTCACTATACCTCGGACTATACGCGCGAGAACAATAGTCTCGAGTAGATTCATGGTTGGAATCCGGAACAAGATCTAATCCAAACTCTGGTAACGGCCGTGAGCCATTATCCTTTGGATGTGTAGGAGTTTGCGAACCGAGATCGGACCGCATTACCTCACGGCTGATGAGTCGAAATTATAAATGGAGCTCGACGCCGGCGAAGGACCATAACCGCGATTATATCTCGGGATCGAGGAGGCTCCGAAACGCGAGTCCCGCAACGTTTGGCGCGAACTTGGCAGGTAGTCGGGCTTCGGCGTTCCAATTACGCCCGGAAGTCGACGCGTGTGATTTATGGACACGGATTACGGATTGGTGTGGCGGAATTTCAAACGGATACGGTGCAACGTTCCATATAAGAAACGATGAGACGAACCGAACGAGAGAACCCGGTGCGAAATGAGCAGCGCGTGCGTTCCACTGTGAAAATATTGCGCGATAAATTTTGTTGACGCACGTTACACGCTCACCGTGTCTCTCGTCGCATAAATTTCGAGGAAACGCGTCGTCTAAGTCAATTTTCACCCTCTGCGTTGAGGAGGTAAAGGATGTATCGACTGCACGGACCGATATTACTCAGGAACACAAATTCTTATACACGTATCAAACTCTGAATAATGACGATCTATTCCAAAACTTTTTTAAGTATCGGTGTAATTAATTATGCTCAACTCCATTAAAAGTACACCAGACGCTTGAAAATAGCGGAAGAAATGAAAAGTTACCGAACTGGATTTTTATTTTAAAGGGACGTAATTAGAAAATGTCGATAAACGAAAGTGGATCGAACGTAGAGCGAGGATATCTGTAGGACTCTCGAATACGATCCGGTAAACTAAAATATCGGATAGTGAACCGAGCTGTCGATAAAATTTCGTATCGACTCGCTCTTTGTATTCTCTCGCTCGTCATCGCGTCTCTTTGCGAAAGTAATTAATATCTATACGCTACGCACGTAAATTTTCATCTCTTTGTCTCTCGTCAGTATCAGATTCTATTTTAAAAAATAAAGGTAGGAAAGTCTCGATTTTCTATGTGTCAAAGAAAAATCCAGATCGAGTCGGACATAAATTCGCAAAGAAATTCCTCGCCGTTTCGAATATCGCAGTCACCGAAACTTGAGAACAGAATCGTTTCTTCTTTGCGTAGTAGTCGAATTGCAAAATGTGCCATGGGAGAATCGTCTGCCTTTTGGATAACCGAGAATCTTCACAATTTTCACAAAAAGTGCCTTCACAGCGAAGCTGTCCTCCGGCTATACTGTAAGTATACGAGAATGTATGGAGTGAAAAGTCCTTTCGCGATCTAATATTCGAGGAAAAGCACAACGTCCATGACTAGCCCAAGCTTATCGCGTTACATGCATAGCAGCTATGTATTCGCAAGATTCGAACCACTGTTGACAGGTATTCTCGACTCAAAGGATACCGTAGTGATTTGACGATCCGGAAACAAAGGACCCTACCGCTCTGCCTCCGATAAGCCTACCTAAACTATCCAGCGGAAATCACAGTTGCATCTCTATTCTTCCGATCGATCGTATCTCGCACAAGTTCCTTGACGCATAAACCTTTCGTACAGAAAGATGTATAATACGTAAGATGGACACGCAGTCGATCAAGATTGTGATATTCTATAATTAAGTATTAATGGAAAGAGCAACTTGACACCCGACACTGAATATCGATCGCGCTCTAAGTTTCATTTAAGACACTGCAGATTCCAGATTAGTAATCCCTCTTCTTGTTTCGCATCACGTTTAGTAAACTTCTTTATTTTATATCGTCTTATGAAGGAGATTTTCGTCTAATTTCACGAACGATAATTTGCATAACGAGCGGCTATTCAAACATTGCGAGTGACTCGACTTCCTTTACGTAATCAGTACGGTTTCTTGCAGTAGCTGCTCGTTTCAGTGTTACTCCGTAGACAACGTTAATTGATACAGTATTCTCTAAATGTGTACACTGTAACGCGTTCCCCGACCCGTAAATGTGCCATAACTCTGCAACAATTACCAATTACGTTTAACCTAGTTCCAGCAATATGGTAAAGAACGTTTGATCTAAAAGAAGCACGTAGTAAATGTCGAATTATTACTTCAGATTTCACTTAACGACAAAGATGGTCTTTCGATACGTGTGTAAAGTCGAGAAAACTACAAAATCCCATTGTCCTACTTCTACTTTCTGACGAGAGTATTTCCCGTTGAACTCGGTGGGTTTTTCGACCAGAGTTCCGACTGACGATAAAAAATTGAAGCAGGGCATCTGTAACGGTGAAACAAAAGTTGTATCCACAGGAACCACGAAACTGTCTGCTGGCACGAAAAGTACCGGCGCATGTGATCACGTTTTAAAAATCGATAAGGAGAAGATATTTGTCTTGCGTACATGGAATTTGAACATTACGCGTATAAGACGTACATGCGGGTGTACCTCTAAATTCTGAGCTAATCTTATTATTATTATTATTTTGATGTTTCTTTTTATTTTTTGTTATTTCGATGCACAGAACTGCATTATTTATTATCAACTGTTTATCAAAAAAGAGTTCTTCATGTTAATAAAATTATTATTATTATTATTATTAATACTATTACGGACAAAAATACTTTTCGTGCAGGAAGTTTCGCCCGTAGCTGCCTGTGGTCCTCGTGTGGCTCGACTAGATTTCAGCCAGTCTGTTCCACGAACTACGACGAACACTTTATCGATGAGCTTTAACGAACGAGCCTTAATAACGATTCACGGGGCAACATATCCGAGAATAATATAGAGGACGAATCCAATTAACCAACGAGCGTGGCTCCAGGTCTGACAGAACATCTAATTGCAAAACTTTTCTACAAATTATGGATCCATCGCTTTAACCGTCCTTCAAAACACATCGCGCACCTCTATGATGCGAGTTACGTGTTCCTAACGAGTTTAAACTTCGCCCTTTGAGTCCCTCGGAAGGGTCAGACAAAGTTTCGCGACTTTTGCGAGATTGACTCGACGCTAGGCACGGGTATTGACGGATTGAAAGGATAGGGCAGATTATCTACGTCATCGGTGATTTAATTGCTAGCTCCGAGAATAAAGGCCGACGACTCCTTAACAAATTTCGGACTGAGGATCGCTCTACCCGATATTAGCAATATAAGCAAGCTTTTTCGCATCCCGAGTCTACAACAAGTTCTTCGAAATTAGAACGACTTTGTAACGTCCATCCGATTTATCTTTGAGGTTCTATAGGTGGCTACGTAAACGAACTTTTCGACTTTCGTGTTACGTTTCCCGGATTACTGCACGTACGCGTAAACCCGTCTAATAGTCTGGCACAACGTGGTCGAAGCATTATTGCCGGATATTATTCGACCGCGGCGAGGTACGGTCCAGGGAAAATGGAAACAACACTTGGCACGCGCGCGTTAAATCTGGAAATTCGTAGCGAGTCTCGTATTTCAAGCAACACTGCCCGCATTTCGCTTATCATCGTCGATCATTCCGCATGTTTACGTCGAAACGTAGCTCCGAGCGCATTTCGAGGGATGATCGTGGATGAAACCGCTTGTTTGAAACGCGCGAATTTAGCTGTGCAAATAGAGAGATCCTAACACGATGTATCCCGATAACGTGGTAACACAAGTCCTACCTGACCCCTTTTCGTTTACTCTGGAAATCGCAGATTCATCGAAGTTGTCAGTGTCTACCTGAAATATGGATGGAAGAACAAAAGACCGCTGCCACGGCGATAAGCCAGAGGCGATTCAAAAATAACGCAAACCTTCCTCTTCCGGTCAGATAGGATTAAATACAATAGACTCGATAGTCGAACAATTCGGATGAGATCCTTGAAACGTTAAATACAAGTCGAATTGAATCGAGTCGTAGTTTGGAAATCATGAAACGGGAAACCGTGTACTTTTTGGTAACGATGTGTGAAGTCCGCGCAAAGATTAGCCGACCTACTTTTTCGCGGGAACGTTATTCCAACTTCCTACGCTTCGGCAGGTAAACCTCGCGCGAGGGTAACGAAAAGTGGAAAGAATAATTGAGATCCTTATTCTGCTAGGGTTCCAACGGTTTCGATCGAATACTCTTTCGGGTCAACGAATCCGTCGCCTCGACGAAAAGCAGTGATTCTTAAAGTGGATCTTAGAAATACCGTGGGTCCTTCTATCCCAGCTAGAATAAATAAGAGCGCGTTCGGTGATCGGAATTCGGTAGAGAAATCGATCTAAAGTATAGCCATTCCTGCATCCTCTCAAGTATCCTTAGACTTGGGCGATAGGACAATCGTTACGAGTGGAGGAAACAACAGCTCTTCCCGAATCGTGAAGGTTGTTTACCGTTCCAGAGTAGCCTCTTCGATGTATAATAATACAGTCTCTTCATGGGACTTTGTATTCCTGCAAGGGTTCTTAAACGACAGGACATCAGGACAGGATCGAAATGACACACGTAATACTTACATGAGAAACGATTTACAGACATTCGATAAGCCGAGGCAGAAAAAGTAAATGAGAACAACGCGAAAACGATGAGACAAGTTTAACGAGATAACTTATTCGATTAGCCTAAATAAAATTTCAACTCGAATACGAACATCGAGGACAGAAATTAATTAAGAGAAATTAATTAATGCTTCCAGTAAATTGTGTTTACGAAGTACTTAGACACACTCGCAATAAAGGTTACTAAGAGTAATAAACTGGCAACATTACAATAAAAATACTTGCATACCTCCCATGGTTCTTGCTAGGCTGACCAGGATGAGAAGATGAACATCTAAACGCGAGCTTGCTTCATTCCTGAATGCAGTTTTCCCACACGCTGCACAATACCCGATCACTGGGGATTCTAGAACTTCCTTCTATACGATCGTTCGCGAGACGAAGTATTGTAAATTCTGTCCGCATTCTTTTCGGCACGTACGCACATATACGAAAGGAATAAGTGCTCTTGTGAATCTCTTAGCCCGGCACCGGACCACACATATTTTCTCGATGATTTTACAAAATCTATTCACCGCGCGGATACTATCGATCGACAATGTTCTATCTCGTGTAATTTTTAACGAAACACACGGAAATTCCGTAAGAATGCCAGGTTTTATGAATGTAACTACGTTGTTTCGCACTTTTTACACATCGCGCGTCCACTAGCCATCTTGATGTTGAATACCAACAGCGCGCCGCGCTTCGGAAGAAACGATAACTATAATTCGATTGGGTGACGAATTAGAAACACGGAGGTCCCAAGTTCGATTCTTCACTGAAATTTTTACAAGCTTATTTCAAGTATTTTTGTATTTCGTATTACGGAGTGACCTGAAATAAATACAAAATTAGGCGAGAAAAGTTAGACATAATTAGACGAAAGGTTGCAACTATGACGAGAACAAATATTATGATTTCCCGTACGAAATGCTTGCCTCTCGTTCGTTTAACTTTCATTCCAACGAAACTAAATCAGTAGTTTTTCTCAATTCATCGTAACATTTATTAGTACAACCATTATATTACAGTAGTATCAAGAGATATTCAAGATTTCAAAATTATAGTTTTTCATTTGATATAATTTCAAGATGTGAAACCTTCTTCCACTCATTTATTAATCACAATTTAACCACATTTATAATACATTACTCCAATTAATATCGTTGACTGTTATGAGGCATTAGAGTCTCACAAACAGGAGACAGAAATGGTCACTGATTCATGAGTCTCCTCGTGTGCCTAATATGTAATAGGATCTTCAGATCATTTCGGTAGTGATGAACGAATTAATTTTGTTCCAGAAGAGCGGAATGTCGGTTGAAGTGAGAGCGGGAAGACCAACAATGCCGACGATTCCGCAGTCTAAAAGACCAACGATTTTAGTTTATCCGACAGGTGAGACTGAACTGTCGTACTTTTCACAGAAAACTGAAAACAATGATGAAGTATTCGGAAAAATTATTTTGTTTTTTTTTAGTAACTCCAGAAAGTATCATCATTCCAATAGTATCGTGCATACTCGGATTTCCGTTGTTGGCGTTAATGGTAATTTGTTGCTTAAGAAGGAGAGCGAAACTTGCGAGGGAACGAGCGAGAAGAAGAAATTGTGACGTCATGGATCACGGAGCCCTTAGCCTTGTTCCTTTCGGTACTGTTCGTCGCTTAGGTGAGTTCTTTAAATTAATTTCATCTCTCGTTAGGTCAGTTACCTTTCCCTTCCTTTTTAGAAATTAACCCATGTGCGCAATCTATTCGGCTACTAGAAAATTATTCTAAAAATTCTATGACCGAATGTGTAATTAAAGCCTGCCCCTTTTCAAAAGCAATATCTCCGTGAATACGCGTTTTATAACGAAAACGGATTGAGGTCACGAAACATTTGTATTACCGTATCCCGGACTTCTTTAACAACCCCCGTCTGCCGCCGCTTTTGCACCCTGATACATTGAATACATACTTATACATATACATCTAAAATTGTACACCTGTATTCGTATACCTTTTTGTAAATAAAACGTATACGTACATGTGTACGTATCAAGGCACAGCAAAATGTAGCCTGACCTAGAGTCTAGAGTTAGAGCATAAAGTTATGTATATACGTCGAGAAAAAGAATAAAAAAGACGTTATTAAAAAGAGTAGATTGGCCTAAACATGTAAATTCATGCACCATTTTTAAAATATTTTGAAATGCGAATGTGTCTACGACTATTTCGCTTCTCGACACTACAAAATATGATATGACTCTATACAAACATACATTGTAATATATCATGATTAGTTTTCTCATGTTCACTTTATTTATTTTATTTATTATACATTAGGTAAGTATTACAAGCACAAAACAGACACGCGTGTGATTCCGATAACTAATATACATATATTTGTTAGCACATATGTATATTTAACGAAATAGTACATATATTTAGTATTTGTTGCTTTAATACAGAATCGCTGAATTCGTTGTAACATTTGAATAAATTGACCCTACCTGAAATTTATATCAGTATTTTATTATTCCGTCAAGTGCAGCATCTAAAGAGGATTTAGGTAAAATACTTCATCCGCCTGATTATTGCTTGACTTATTAGTGCATAGAAGTGTTAGAATTTTATTCCAAAGGTCACGATCTTTTCATACTCGATGCATAATCGTTTGCTGCTGCTACTCCGGATATTGGAGAAAAAGGGATGAACGATAGAAATAAATTTCGATTACGTGCTGCATCGAAATTCAATTTAACAGGTAGTTTTGTGACGAATTATTTTCTAGCAGCTTAATACTTTCTACGCACTTGCGAATGTTCAAAGTTTAGGAAAATTAAGCATTTTTACGCAAACGAAATAGGAAATATCCGTAATTTGGCTGCAATCAACGCAACACGTGGCGCAAAGGCATGTAACTTATATTATTATCTTTAACATCATACTAGCATGACTTTCAAATATTTGCTACATCAGTATTAGTGCATTATCGCCTTACATATGAAAATTACAAATTGTACTTAAATAAAATTTTACGATTCAAACGATGAGTTCGGCTCCAGCGTAATTAGCGCATTTAGTCCACATCTACGGTATGCATCTCTTTACAAATTTCTTTATGGTAGATGAAAGTTTTTAATCCCATCGAACGACTAGTATGTAGTTCGCATAATAATACGATTGTATACGTACATTTATGTGGCAGCTGGAATCGATCATCCAGCGAGAACGGTATCACTACAGCGAAGTGACCGAGGTTCCAGAGCTGTTCCATCGTTGGAACTGGACACTGTAGTCGAGGAACGATCGGATCCCGAACAGAGCACTGCCTTGGAGCTGAGCAGTCCAGATTAACATCCAGCTGTGGTACCGTCGAGGTATGCGAGCAAGAGTAAGTATATGGTGCTATAGTTAGGGATTTTTCTTATCATTTATCGTTTCTGTGGCAGGTCTCCTCGACCATCGAAATCGGCGGTACCGCTGCCGGTGGACCACAGTCCACTTTGGACAGCATTGACACATGCCAACGCTGTGTCTTCGGCTCTTGAGGATACCTAGCAGGAAGTTCAAGAGGGCGGCTATATCGAAGCTCTTGTCCTCGACTTGCCAATAATTTATTAACAAATTTACAGAAGATACAAATACGTATATTATCGTGTAAAAATCAGTTCAAAATCTCGAATAGTCACGTTGTACCGTAGAACTTTCGCGATGAAAAATTGGTCCAAGCCTAACACTGTTAAACGAAAGGATTTGAAGCTCTACGCTTTGGGTATCTAAAACTAATGTGAGTAAATTTTATACCTGCGAGCTGTGCAACGTTCTCCTGGGCATCCAGCTTTTTACAAAAGAGATCGATATTTGATTAAATAATGGAATCTACATTATATTAATGTACATAAGAATTTGTTAACACATTGTACAAATGGAAATAACAGTGTAAATAAATCATGAAACACTATTGTATTTTGTTGCCCGGTTAGAGCATGAATTTTGTAGATACTGAATAAATACATTACGTACGTAAAATTCATACTCCAACGTATTCGTATTAAAACATCAACTCTCGTCCCTTTAATATAAAAAATTGTCATACGTACGTGACGTGTAAATAATAGACGCTAAATGTAACACAAATATCGATTCTTATAAAAACAAACTAATCGTGTACAAATGCTACCAAACAATTATTTAAGGATAGATTTGGACAATTGATTTCTGCTTCTCAAATTCGTTTGCACTAACATTCCTTTCGTTCGTGCATACAGCGGGATCATTTTTATGTAAACAAGTAATTAGATTATGTACAATAAAACTTAAAACAATAAAATGTTTTTTTATCTACAAATTCTTCTATTACATTCAAAATCCAGGTATCACGCGCCCTTTCTTAGCCGCTCTTTTTAATTTATTCAATTTCTTATCTTTTTTCCTTTTCATGATATTCTCTTGTCGCTTCTCTTGTCTTTCTCGGACACCTTTTTGCACATTTTCCAATCTGGATTCCCATTTCTTGGCACTCTGTTTCTTCATCTGCTCTTTCCTTTTTAACGTCTTTTTAAGCAAATCTGGATCATCTCTTACCTGTTAAGTATCATAAATATAAAAGAGATAAGCTCTCTTTCTTTTGAAGTTTTAAACTACTAAATCAGCGTACTTATTTATTTGCTTACTTTCTCACCGCCAGCCTTTGCCAAAACAGATTTCCATGCATTCTTCTCCTTGATCTGTTGTGCTTTTTCTTTCTCACCTAATTGTTCCAACTCTTTCAACTTCTCCTTCTTTTGTTTTAGTTCGACTAATATCTTCTTCACATCCTTTTTAGGTGGTTTCCTTTTCGTACCAATTTCTGAGAAGTCAAATTTGCTGAACACCATTTTACCTTCTGAATTGAATACAGGCTTTGGCCTTGGGATTTTTGGTATATCACTATCCTCTTTCTTAATTTTAGGTACAACAGTTGAATTTTGTTCCACTTTCATTAGTTTCCTCTGCATCGATCTTTCTTTTTTCTTTGTAATTTTTTTAATCTTAGTCTTTAAGGTTTTTTTCAATTGTTTGTCCTTATATTCCAATTTCTTCACATTCTTTAATCCTTCTAGTTTGGCATGCAATTCTTCAAAAGTTTGTGCTCTTTTCCCTTTTCGACAAATATTCCCTGTAAAATAAAAAAGACATACATGCAAAACATGAGAAAGAATGAATTAGATCGCGTATTCTATTACATACCTTGCAACATTTTTACTTTGGCATATTTGCTGACTACTTTGTCTTGTTCACCTGAAACTAATAAAATTTTAAGTTCAATTACTGCAAATATTACAGAGGTATCATGGTTAGGATACTTCTTCACAATCTTACCTAGTTCGGACATGGGCAACGGCATTTTTGAGAATATCGTGGAAATAAAGGCACATTCTTCGAGCAATAACTTTTTCACAAGATTTTTGTCAAAGGGTTTTGTCATTTTCAATTGCATATTTATCAGAACTCACGTGTTTGGTATGAGCGAAAGTAAATAAATCTTGACGCGTATGGCGTATACTAACAAGTGTTGGTGGTGAGCAGTGTGTGTGTGAGCATGATTAACATCCCCTAAATGACTGTAGTAAATAGTAAATTCATTAAGAGAACATATTGGACTTTGGATTTCTTGATTTTTAAGCACTTATGCAGCACTTAGATTAAAATTATCGCAACTCTGTGGGTAAAAAATGAAGAATAAAATAATCGGGAAATCAAAAAAGGGAATTCAGTTTTCATATACTTCCTTCCTGGACAAAGTAACCAAATAATCGGGACGATCGGGACTGAGCGGGAAAGGAATAATCGCGTGATTCGTACGCGTATGTCACGGCATTAAATGTCTGTTCGTACTTAATGTTTCTATAAATGTTACGTAAATTCGTTTGTATCGTTAACCGTGTGTGATTTTAATTTATGTAATTACTCGCGTACTATAATCATTAATTAATATTTCATTTAGACCGACTTTCGTCTTTAAAGAAGGTTATGTTCTAAAGAATTTTGAAAGGAGAAACTTCGAATGATTCGTATGTATATAGTGGTTAAATAAATTATTTTACTATGGATATTCCCGCAACACAAGTTTGTGAAGATCGTGATGTGTCGACCCAAAAAATTGCTTTACTCTCGCGACAAAATGCGCAAAAACAACAGGTGAGAATAAATTATGCATTTCAAAAATTATACTTTTTTTAATTTATTGTTATTTCTGATTGCTGTCATTTATAATACATTGTTTATGAAGCAATTACGATTTGACAATTTCTATTCCAATGTGATTTGTTGTAAGCGAACCTATTACTATATGAAAAGAAAACGTAAAAGATTGTTCTAAGCGCAAACCTTAATACAATAAATATATATACATCCATGCATACAACGTGATTTGTTTTCTTTTCGATGTTTCAGGTTGGAATTCTACATATTGGGTCAAATTCCTATCCAGTCAAGGAAGGAATTAACAAAATTGGTAGACACCCGGACAGTGATATTATAATAAATGACCAAGTATGTATATAGTTAAAGTTAATCCAATAAATAATAATTAAATCACTTTATTTTCATCATCAAAAAGTCTAGGTAAACATTTTTAATACAAAATATAAAAATCAATTCGTAAATTTATTTCTTACGCTTTTACATTGTATGAATCACATTTTATAATTTCTCCGAAATCTTCTACATATCTTGAAATGTACAAGTAATGTAAATGACATTAAGAAATTCATAGTAAAACGTTTTATAAAAGAAATTATATAAGTTGTACAATAAACATTGAGAGAAAGGGTTTCTATAATTCTTCTTTTGGTGTACTGGATTTGGTGCTTAATTTGTTTTCATTAAAGTTAATAGAATTCCAGAAATCTTTGTTTCCTAAGTTCGGATTGCTATCCATAGTAATTTTGTCTGGTCCAGCAATGTGTAAATAGCGTAATATCTTTTCGTCTGGATTCAGTCTTGGCCATTTAGCACCACCGACATTTGGAACTCTGAATGTAAATTAATTCAAATTATAAAAATAAAATACATTAGAATATAACATGAATTGCCTCCAAACTGTCTGTATAAATAATTTCACTCACCCGTTAGTTGTGAACGATACCCAGAGATCTATTAAAACCCTTTGCATTTTAATATCTTCTGTCGTTGTCGTTGGATCTAAATAAGCAGTATCCACTACTGCGTACGCATCATCCGCATGGCTCACACCTATTCGAAACATTAAATAAACAATAAATCTAACTGTCTTTCCTTTCTATTCCTTTCGAGTTTAAATCACATACCATAGTTAGTGCTTGTACCACTCATAGCTTCGCTAAGACTGTGAGCACCTCTGTAAGAGTAATAATAAAACCAGACAGGTTGATGATTTACTTTTGCTTGCATCCTGGCAGCCTGTTCACCACCGACAACGAAGAATCGATCGCTCGCTATGTCAATCAAGGGCTTTATCGTATTCTCGTCAATTTTCTTCGATCCAAAATAATGATTCTTAACGAGTCTCGCAACTTCGACGTGCTTCTCTTTAGGAATAGTGTAATTGTAATCAAGGAAGTGTGGAGCAAGAAGTTCCCAATTATCTTCCAGTGTTCTCAATGCTTCCGGTATAGCAATGAATTCTGCAAAATTCGTTGAGTCGTTATACGTGATCACGATTATTGTCGTTGAACATTTCTTACCAGCCACTGGATACAGTCCTTCCTCGCTGGTAACTCCGGTCACCCATGGTATATCATGAACATCGCCGCTGCTTATGATCTCCGCGGGTGTGCGATCTATGAACGGTTCGTCGCTAGCTTTCTCCGGAACCGGCCCGAATGGCGTGAATGGATTGAAGTAGAAGGGCTACAATTCAATCAATAACTTTCGACTATCAATTGTATCAGGATATCGTAAATAGCAAATTATAAATTACCATGAATTTGCCAACGGCTTCCACTAGAGCTTTGCCAGGTCGATATCTCAGGCAGCGAACCATGTCTCTGATACTTCCTGTGGGACAGCCCATGAAAGCACCCAATTGTTTTGCCTTCTCCAATGAATTTTCTGTTTGCGTCCAGCAATTCAGTGCGGTGCCACTGATTGAGATACCACCTGCGAAATTAAAGTGTAATTGATATTAAATAATTCGAATATTCTTAATATCGTGCGTACCTTGGAAAAGCCCGGCGCTCATGGGAGATAGATATTGGTAGTGAACGCTGGCACCACCGGCGCTTAGACCCACCAAAGTAATCTTTTTTGGATCTCCACCGAACCATTCGACGTTCTCCGAAACCCATCGTAACGCTAAACTTTGATCCTTTAGTCCCATATTACCGGGCACAACTTCATCCTCTGTACTGAGGAAGCCTTGACACATTAAATTTATTATTACTAAAAATTTATTAAAAATACCTCGAATTAGCGAGTTAAATAATTGTCATCTTACCTAACGGCCCTAAACGGTAGTTGATTGTAACGAATACGATGTCGCGGTCCATGAGGTATTTCCCACCCATGTCCATCCCGCTGCCGTATTGGAAAGCTCCTCCATGGATCCAAAAAATAACCGGCAGCAATTGAGGACTCGTTCTCCTCTCCGCTGGCACGTAAATGTTCAGATACAAACAATCCTCGGCACCCTCGACTTTTTCATTCGACTCCTTGGGTAGTTGGCTATATTGCAGACATGGACTTCCAAACTTGGTAGCAGAAAGCTCGCCTACCCATGCTGGTAATCTCTGAGGCGACTATAGAAAAAACGAGAGAATAGTTTCGTTTCCATGTGTATTTTTCCATTGTGTTAAAACATGAAACCGCGATATTGTACGCGATGAGATTATATAACATCGCTTGTTGATAAGAATATCTAATTGGTTACACAATTTAAGTGCACTGAGAATCGTATCAAGGCTGAATCTAGGTCAATGAGTGAACGCTTTATAAAACTCTATTCTCTAAATTTGAAAGATAAGACCGAGTTAGAGTATAAGATTAGATAAAACAGAGTTGTTTGACTTCTAAAGTAAACTAATTTAATCAGTCGATTCGGCTATCATTCTCTACCTTGAATCGAAGTTTCCCGACCGGAGGCAACGCGTAAGGGATTCCTTCGTAAGCTTCATACTGTCTTCCATTCGCGGACACTTTGTAGTATCCCTTGACCGCTCCTAGTGGCGTCTTGACCCTGGGCACATCCTCGGCGGACCATGCGAGAGTCGCAAGGCCAGAGAGAACTAAGAGAAGTTGCAGTCTCGTCATCTTCAACGGGATTGAAGCCGGCGACGACCTGCGCTCGTTTATTTATTACGCTCTTTTTGAACTTCGCTAGTGTGCGTACGATACACGTCGCACCGAATAAAACAGTGAAACGTTTATCTGTGTACGTCTAAATCAGCCGATTAATTCTCCCTACTTAGAATTTCTTGAACGATGATTACCATTGCGAGCCGTCAGCGTGACTACGTACACCAATTTTGTACAAGCGAAAATGATTCCTCGATTTTTATTTATATCAGCCTCGAAACAATATTAAGATAAAATGCATCGCTTCATACTGACGTATCAATCTATGAACATCAAATGCATAATCGTGATAAGATTGTAGTCTTAGCAATTACGTTCGTTCGCTTTTGTCCTCTGGAGAGTCGCTGATGGGACACTATTTTCGTTCGGAAATTGCATATTACGTGCGATAAAAAGAAACTCTAATCGTCGAATTTAGTTCTTTAGTGTATTATTATTATTATTATTATTTTTCATTTATTTGATTAATTATGTCATTACATTTTAAACTAATGCAAGGAAATTAGCACGCATAGTAAATGATTCAAAATGTATTTTTTTTTACTAATTTCATATAATAAATAACTCTTCGTATACCTTATCATACACGACGTTTCTAGCAATTTCTTTGTTCAAAGTAACGTAATTTTATTCAATCCCGTCAATCTTTAGATAAACATTTATTAAACAAAGAAACGAAATCCAAACGAGACAAGCGTAGTGCACATTCAGATACGAAGCTTTCCATTATCTCTGATAACACAGTTTAAAGAAACGTGTATTAACGTATGTATTTCTACTTGATATCAATGCTACTTGAAAGAATTCATGAATATCTTTACATTGAATATTTCTTTTATTTCCTTATATGGATCCGTGATCAGAATGCAGTAAATTATATTCTTCAAAAGAGTTGCTGACTTCGAACGCAATATTTGCATTGTAGATAGTAACTAGTAAAAATAGAAATCAATGCCATTCTGATAAGGGCAAAAACAGAAGCAAAATATTTATAAAGAGTTCAGTGAGAAATTCGAGACTTGAAACGCAGTAAACATTTTTACATCGAATTTAAATCGATGTTGGGTTTAGTGAAAATCTCTTTAATTAAGATACTTGTTTATCATTGCCTTACTCGAGCATTAATACAGTCCAGATATAAACGTTAAGACTTCGGATCGTGGCAAAAATAATTGAATAATAGGAAGATTAATTTAACTTGCAGACGGTGTCTAAGAAACACGCGGAGATCGAGGCTAACAGTCACGAGGCGACATGGGTTTGCGATCTGCATTCGTCGAACAGCACAAAACTGAACAACGTAAAATCCATTTCGTTCACGTATTTATCGTTAAAATTTCACGATTTTTATCCTGTTGAGTCATTTGATTTTACTGCTTTTATATTCATGTTATGACAATTGCATGATATAAATTTCATTCAACCAGTTAGTAATCATTTCCTCTGTATTCTGCAGTCGACTTTAAGACCTGGCCGCTTATACGAACTCAAAGATGGAAATGTGTTAGAATTCGGTATGGCTCGAGCTGTTTACAAGCTTTACCGTTCGCCGGATGACTCTGTGATCTCAGAAACTCCAGCACCAAACCGTACCAAAGCGCATATGTCTATTCCTGAGACACCAGACTCATCAATGGTAAAAGTCGTTTACAATTCGTTCTTGTACAATTTCATGACTGTAGGATTGATTTAATGTCATATAGTGTGTATTCTGTGTAGAGTAATTCTTCTGGTATGGAAAACGTCTCCGCGATTCCAGCCACGCAAAACGACGATGAAGAAAAACATCTGTTTCGTTATCCTTCACGTCCTCTGCGATTGTCCGCTAGCAGCAACCGCAAGAGCGAGGTCCAGGATTCATCCATCGACGACTTGGACACTTCCGGGAGTTTCGTTACAAAAAAGAAGGAAAGTGTGAGTGAACAGAACGTTAGTATTCACGATATGGAAACACAGAACAATTCATACGAGACAGATAATCACAACGTTGAGACCCAAAAGATTCGCGTGAGCATAATTAACGCGGCGGCCAAACCCTTGTGCGAACAATTCCCAGATGATATTAGCGACGCGGAAAAGCAGAAAGAGAGAAATACGAATTCTTCCATTACCGATATTCATGATATAGAAACGCAACACGAGGATGATAAACTCGCGAAATTGAAAATTTATGACATGGAAACACAACGCATTGTGAACGTTCATGATATGGAAACGCCGAAAAAAGTTCGGGATCGGTCAATTCGAAGTGATACTGAAACGTCGGGAATCAATGATGAAAGCTCAACGAGTACAGAAAAAGATACGATTCATGATAGAGTAACGCAGAAGTTTGAAATTAAAAGGAATATATCGTGTTGTAGTGAGGATAAGAATGAAAATGATGAAATTAAAGAAAATTCACAGATATTGATAACGAGATTCGGTAACGAACTCCCAGATCTCGACGAAAGTCGGAATTTGATCGGCTCACAAAACATGTTAGAAGAATACTTTGATGAATCGAACGATGGGGTTGCAGAACCATCGACCGCGGGAACCGGTTCGCACGTAGATGCGAACGAGAAGAGCACCGACGATGATAATATATTTGACGCAATGACGCAAGTAACTGAATTCGATCGGAATGCTTTGAAGGTTGTAACGCGCCAGGTCGACTACTCATGCAAGGCCTCGTTAATAGCAGGCGACTCTGATACCGAAGAGGGAGGTGTGTTTCAGAGCTACTTATACAATAAAAGCCAAGATGATGTCATTCACATTACAAGCACTACAAACCCACCGAAAAGTCAAGAGTCCGACGATTCGACCACGGACGAAGAAGGTCAGTTTGCGGAATTAGCCATGAGGATAAAGACATCAGCGTCCAATTCCTTTGAGTCGAAATGTAACAGAAGCAGAAAAACTACAGGTGATAACAATTCGAGTAAAGACTCCGAAGATTTTTTTGATAAACCTACTCAATCATTTACGGTGACAAATTCGACGAACTTGTGCCATCAAGAGAAGGTTGACACAGGTAATGAGGTCTTTGATGCACCTACGCAAACGATTGCCGAAGTAGTGTGTGATGAAGTTAAAATAAATGAAAGCGCAAAAACAGAAATCGATGACACGCAGCAAATGAAAAACACTTCTGTTACTGCGAAAAGAAATTTCGATGAAGAAGATGTTACAGAAATGGAAGACAATTCTCCGACGCAAATACTTAGTGTACCGGAGAAATCCTCGGAGGCAGCTAACGAGCCGAGACCTTCGAGCATCGTTGAAGAACGCAGCGTTAGAGACATCGATTATGAAATAGAGCCTACTCAGCGTATAGCTCCTAGCAGTAACAAAGATCCATCGGGACCATCGAATAGAGTGAGCTTAAATGATACCATTGAAAGAAATTTAGGTGCAATGTTTGAAGACATGAATGAGGAGTGTGTCGACGAGCAGGATCAAATATCGACTCAGGTTCTTCGAGATGTTCTCCAATCACCTAAGAAGCTTGCAGACGTAGATAGTGACTCGCCAACGGGAAGCAAATCAACAAGATCTAATGAGAATGAGAATATTGATGACGATTCGCAGACCACCGAGAATTATTTCTGCGGTCTTACTTCAAAAAGAAAGATGAATGTTTTAGCGAATTCCCAAAATTTCGAAACCAGTGAGCGAACTGACGACAAAATAGACAAAGAAGGAACCGCGATTGATTGTAAAAATATGAACGAATGTAATACACCGAAATCTATGTCTAAAGATGCGGAATTAGTAAAATCTACACCTAAAACTCCTACGACACCGAAATCTTCGCGTAAGAATACACCATTATCAAAATCCGTAACCAAAGAGCAAACAACACCGCTATCGTCTAAGAGGAAAAAACAGGAACCATCGGGAACAGTTGAAACTATATCGGCAGAAGCAAATGTGTCTAAAAATGATAAAAATGTTCCAAAAGATGCACTGGACAATAAAGTATTCAGTAGCACATCAATCACTGGGGAGGATCTTCAACAGTCCTCTAACGCATCCGTAGATAGTGACGAGGATATGTTAGCTAATTTACCAGAGGTTAAAATTTCAGGTACTTTGTCGAATCCGGGAAGTCCAGTTTCAACGACTTCATCCGAGTACAGAATAAACATTAATCTCAATCTTGAAAAACAAATATCCGTAAGAATTGCGCCCAAAAAGAAGAGAGGTCGGAAGCCCCGAGTACCGGTATCTCTTAAAAGCATCGAAAATGCTGAATCTCATAATGATAACGAGCTTGGTTCTTCCACGCTGACGGAAAGTTTGTCGAATTCGACCGCAAGCAATCTCGATGTTAACGAAGTATCCGTGAATAAGGAAAAAAGAAAAACTAGGAAAACGCCAGCGAGAAAATCGAAAAAGAAAGATTCCCTTCCGGAATCGAAATTCGTAGCTCCGAACGAATTCCTAAAAAAAGAGAGGCAAAGCTCTTGCATTGAAGTCAATCGGTCGATATCCGAACCCAAATCTAAAGCGAGCGATTTCCTTGCACAATCGACAACAATAGCGACCTCGATCGACTCGCAAAAAGAGGCGAGACAAGTGCTTTCTATTAAAACCAATCGAAAACCTCGTAATTCTAAAAAGAAGGATGCTGATGTTCCGTCTCTTTTGCAGGTAGGAAAAGAAGTGCCGGCTGCAAAAGTGGCTGCGGGACCAGCCAAAGAGAACGTCCTCAACGATACGTGCAACATGCGCACTCGAAAAAGAAATCTCAGTACTGTAGACACGAATGAAAGTAACTTTGGGAAGAAGTTGAAGACGGACACTAACGAAGACGAACCGAATTTAACCAGAGGGAATAGAAGAAACGCTGGTACTAGCAAGCGACAGTCTACAACTATTCTTAACTATGTTACAAGAAATGATTCGCCCCATCTGAGTAGCGCGAGCTCAACACCGTCTGACTTAGATACGGATAAACAAGTGATGATAAAACTAAAAAGAGTACCAGTGGCATCTCCGAGTAGTACGACAGGATCGATATCTCCGATCACTCGGGCGGAATTAATACCTGAAAATGATAATACGAATAATACCAAGAGGCAAACGCGTCGTGCGACTAAAGCGAATAATCAAAGCTCTTTCAATACTTCCATTATTAAAGACAGCAATACCACACGAAATACAAGAACGCGAAATGCGAATGGAACGGCGAAGAAGGAAGTTAAAACCACGGTAGAAGAAATTAGTTCTGAAATTGGGGAGGAATCGCAGGAGATAGAAATGATTATGAGTGGTGTGCTCAAGAAACCAAATCCCGTCTCGATCACAGAATCGAAAAAAGACACAAGTATAAATACGAAACCTATCAATACCAGGAGTAAGAGAAAATGTGGGAACATAAGTACAGATACTGATAATACAGGAAACAGCAGTTCTTCCTCCATTGTGTACGAATCTGATAATGCACAATTCGAAGTTTCCATTTCGAAACCTAAGCGAGCGAAAAATTCAAGCGTAGCTAATACTACACTAAACGTATCGCCTAATAGAACACGTAGAAGTATGTCGACGTTAAGCAAGACGAAACACAGGATCTCATTTACAGGAGTGTCGAGCAATGACTACACGAAGGTGATGTCAAAATTAGGTACGTATTAGTTTGCTTCTTCTAAGTTATAATAAGGGGAGTGATTGTATATTTATTTCTTTGCAGGGGCATCTCAAGTGGAGGATACAACGAAGTGTACTGTGTTGGTAACGGACAAAGTACGCCGAACGCTCAAGTTCCTATGTGCTCTCGCGCAATCTGTGCCGATAGTTTCGATCGATTGGCTGATAGATAGCGGAAAGGCAAATGAGTACATGGACATAGAAAATTACATATTAAAGGATTCCGTGACTGAAAAACAATATAAGTTCAGTTTAGTGGAGAGTCTGCGAAAGGCAAAAAATCATAAACTTTTGGAAGGATATACGATTGTTTTAACTTCCAACGTAGCACCACCTCCTTTACCTGAACTGAAAAGTACGTATCAAAGTAAATAATTTCTTTGTTACGGATTCAAGAATTTGATTTATCTTTTGCAGCTATAATCATCACGTGCGGTGGTAAACCCTTGGTTCGTCCACCACAATCGTGGCCCGAGAAGTCTATTATTGTCACTCGTGAAGAAGATCTAGCGAATGCACAGAAGTTCCTCGCAAGAGCACCTAAATTTGTTACTATTCATTCGATAGAATTCATACTTACTGGTATTTTGAGGCAAGAGTTAAATTTTTCCGAGTTCAAGTTAAGCAGTTAATTGCTAGATACGCTTTAATTCGAAGATGCCCTCTACATGTTCTTTAATTAATTACGTTAATTTAAATTCATCGACATATTTTCGGTAAAACAAAGAAAATATTGCAACAGGTACTGTAATGTTTAGAAAGATGTTTGTACATATTTCAATATTTTTATAAATACAACCATTTAATGGTAACTAAACATTGCATTTGCTTGTTGCTTTGATATATATGTGAATATAGGTTTTAATAAAATTATGAGTACCATTTTAAGCCTTATAACGTTAAGAAAAATTGTACAGAAGGATCATTGTTTAAATAAAAATTACTTTTTATGATAAATCTTTTTATTCATCAAAATTATACACTGTTCACAATATTTTTAATATTTCTAACGAATTCAACATTTTTAAGGAATACTCTTGAAGTACGGTTTAAAAAGAAATGCATTTCTTTAATGAATGAACTCTTGTAAAAAAAAACGTTTCTAATTATAAAATTGAGCAATTGGATTTTAATATCAATTCAAACGAAACTAGTTCAACTAGATGCTCAATATCTAAAGAATTTATATAATGTGCGTGAATTCAGTATGAATATTCTTTGACTTAACTACTACGGTGTCAAGAGAACACGAGGCTTAGGTAAACCCTGGATCCAGAGTAATCCTAGTGAGATTTATTACTCTATAAGTCATATGATATGACTGAGAGTAAATAGTTACAAGACGTAACGTTTTGTACTATATACTAATCATTATCTTATCCTAAATGAAGATTTATATTCAGCGACTAAATGCATGGCTGAGATTATAGGAAAATGAAGGAAAAAAAATTGTTTTACAATATAATGTGTTCAAACGTGATGTTTGAGGAGTGTCGATCTCTTGGACTTCAGCAAACGTTCGTCTTTTTCATGATTATTTCGCAATTTCGAGACTCCTGAAACAAATAAAAATAAATCATTAGGAACGACTCTCCTTAACATACGATATGTTGCGCCCGTACATATTTCTACATAATGAAACACGTATAAGCATTCCAGGGCTATATACGTTCTCTTATCTATTTTATCACCTTGTAAAACAATAAAAAAAAAGCAACAAGTGCTCGAGCAAGAAATGAGTCACCTTTGTGATGGTTACTACGCAGCGGTAAAAGAAGTGGAAGTACAGTAACGCAAACTATATTTACTAATAATTAAAATAAAAAACTAAGACTTGTTCTAAAAAAAAACGCGTTGGTACGTTCGTTTCAATTGCGATGTACGACTCAAACTGAACAGAGATAAATATCAATGGAAATACGCAAAAACTCGGCCAAGGTTGCGGAACATTCCGGATGGTCGCGAATCGATAATGGAGCTCAAGGAAAATGCAAGCATCGATGAAATTACATCGTATCCGAAAATTGTTCTTTACTTACAGCTTACGCTTTGCTCTTAGCGATGTTCCGTTTGTTGTGCTCGGTGTTCATCAGTTTAGTTACGATCTTTCTCGAATGGCCACACGGATCGAATTGATTCGTATGCGTCGCAGCCTCCCGTTTGCTCCGCTGTTTTCCACTGTGCCCGGTGAAAATGTGCTTGTCGTAGTCATAGTTGAAGTGCTCGTACTCGTCACCGAATTCTTCGGACATAGTTCTTGCGTTTCCCGAAATGTTTGTTGAAGATAAGTAACCAGACGCGTAAATACGCAGTTGAAGGAACGTACAAAACTCGTGCGTCTTTTATGTTTGGTTCAATACTATCCGGACGCCGCTCCTTGCAGCTCTTTATGTAGACTACCTGGGAAACCCTGCGCATGCGTATTACCCAGTTGTGTTTCGAATATCTAATACAAGACAATGCTTTGATAGTTCAAGTTGTTTGTTAATCGATTTTACAATATAAATTAAGTCTACTTGCATTCTCACTTGTGTACGGTATAAAAACTAGTTTTTATGATTCGAACACGTGACAACGAGCGTAACAAATGCATTTAATGATAAGGTTGTGCATCGTAGAACACAATGGAATGAAGGATTTTTAAAATACATTGAAAGCATGCTGCGATATCGATTGCCAAGGGTAACGGATACATTCCAAATACAGATTCTCTCATAATCAATTTGATCGATAAGGTAATATTAGTTTTAATTCATACATTAATACAGCTGCACAGAAAAATCTCGTATCTATAATTATAAATAGCCCTGAATGGGTTATATTGATCGACTATCTGCAATTATCTTTTCACATATATTTCGAAGTTCGACAATTTTTTAAAATCACTACTATGTGAAACGATAATAAATCCTGATTTTACATATCGAATTTCTGCTGCATTGTCTTTACGATCGCTCGCAAATAAAAGAGTGGATCTATCACGCACGCGCGATTAGTGTTCGATTACATCGACTTCTAGAAGCGTCCCTACCATCGCAATCTTTTTGTACATTTTGCGTTTTTCATTCGTTGCCATATGTTAAGAAGTGCGATACGAAATTGAACGTGAGAATATTCCTGGGGAGCAAAGGGATTAATTTTAAATGAACATGCAATGATTTACAAAAATTATTTTTCATATTCTTAAATTGAAATATTCATATCAATCATTATTTTGCAATATAGTTACATAGAAATAGTTAAGAGTATTTAGTTGCAGGAATTCCAGGTTGACCGGATTTCTATTTTTCAAACGTGTAGCAGCGACATGCTCCAGTTATCGGAGATTCTACGTAATTATAAACCTGATTATTCAATGTTAATCAATTCGCGTTAAAATAAGTCTGATAACGAGACATACCACATAATAGTATTTATTCACGTCCGACGTCTACGTGCTCTACAACACATAACATCCGCACGTGTCTTTTCAAGTGTTAAAATACATTTCCTTTGACCTTATAATTACTCACCGCGTTTGATAAACGGTATTGATCTTCAACTCTTGTTCATTTGGTTAAAAACAGAAAATGCATATTCAATCATTTAAAAGGATATAAATTAGCAACGATGAATTCAAGGATCGATGCTAATGAATTTCAAGCCGGCAATGACCTTTAAATTCTTATGTTCTCTTATCGAACATTATTATGACTCATGTCGTAAGAAATATTACTGGCAAGAGCGCACAGTGTTTTTCAAAGTTGACAATAAAAGATTATCTAACTGGCGCTTGCATTATGTATCCAACAATGACATTCGAATTTATTGTCTTCTCCTACGTTTCATTTTTTGCACGCGCCGATTGGAATTGCGAGTTTAAAACTACTGAAGCTATTAAAATGTTTCATTTGGAATAATGTTATAGTGGCACAGCTATTTGTTTGCCAAATCTGAATCGGAATTACTAGACACTATTCTATTGATGAAATTTCATTCGATTGAAAGGATGTTGCGAATCCGCGAAATCCCGTTAATCGGTCTGATCTTGTTACGATCACGTTCAGTTTGAGAAGTTTAAAGAAAACGAATTATGGTATTCATACTACATGTATGATTTCTCGACAACTCGCTCCCTTGACCAGCAGTTACACGAACTTAAATAACAGGGGATTTGTTCCACGGAATCACCAAGTCCACTGAGGCACTCAGCTTTTACCTGCTTTTCCCATGTCGTACGACTTGTCAAAGTGTGAATACTCCATTACGTGTACATGCGCATACACCTGTAGCTTTTAATGCATTTCGATTAACGCTATTTGTATGATTTCTTTCCGCATACATAAGTGAATAGACGTTCCCTAACTACCAACAATTTTTTAAAAACGTTGGAAAGTAAGGATTATTTTTTAATTACGGTATCTTAGAATGTTAAGAAGATGCAATTATAGAGAATTAGCAATACGATAACTTGCAATCTATTTCATTAAATAATTGTCTCTTTAAAAGAAGTCTTTAGTACTCGATTCATGTTACACTGAGAGCTCCCGAGAAGCTTCTAGGGTTGAAACGAACAGCAAGTACGTTTCAAGTACATAGGTATTGATCCAAGAGACGGATGCACATCCAGGCCATGTTTCTTGAATATTCCATCCCGTTTGAATAGTTCTCGAACGGGTTTCGAGGATGATTTCAATAATACATTTTTCCTTACCCTTTCCGCCTTAGCTCGTCTGCCCAATATTCCTCCTGAGGTTAAATGGTTGATGTTTTTGGAACCACTCGTTTACTTAACAGTGCAACGTTCGCGTATTTCCTATATCGATCGATATTGCAAGAGGTAACGTTACCTGCTCGAGTAAAAGTTTGCCAGAATGTTCCTGTTGCCCGCTCGGTCAGTAACCGAAATTACGTTGCGATTACGTTGATGAAACAAGAAGATATTCTCGCGCTCATGCAATATATTGCGCAATAGAAAGTTCGATCGAAACACTGAGAATGAAATAATATCAACGTGCAAAAGTTTTATTAAAGAATTTCAATTCCGTTACAATTCAACATAGAACAAACGTGACAAAAATAATACACAATTTCATGATGAAACATTCGAAGATTCAATACTAGAGACTTGAGTAGAACTTATAACGAGATTGCGGACGTTCAAGCGATGTTGTAAAAAAGAATTTGTTTCAAATATTGCGTTTTGTCTCTGTTAACATCTCGTATAAGTATATACAACCATGATTCAACTCATTACAATAATTAGTGTTAGTGAAGCTTAACGATTTACTGGAAGATATCGTTTAATGAATTTTGTCGGTAATTAACCGTTTCAATGAAATCCATACACGTCGCCTCCTTTCCGGAAGTCCGCGTTCGCGAATATAGTGTCGTTCTTAACGAAAATGACACAGGCCACGCTGCCGCGAACTCTGTAACGAGCGGTTTTATGCCCGAGCCTCTTCAACCCATCGATTATCTGTTTTGGCACGCCGTACTCATAAGCTATCTCCGGGGGGAACAGCTGATGATGTATTCTGGACGCGTCGACGGCTTCCTTCACCGTCTGCCCCAACCAAATGATCCTCGTTATTACCTAAAGCCATTCAAACAAATTTCTTACTTCATCTCGAAATTATCACTTGATATTTTCATACACTGTTCGATTTCTTCAAAAGATCAGGGTGAATAGGAAACAGGTTTTCATAAAACAGTGATCGTTTCCACGTTTTAATTGTACTACCAGTAAGTGAGACCCCATTTAAGAAGTATGATAAGGTTAATCAGTGGAAATGTTCTGACCTGTGACACTGTTGTGATGATCTTAGTACCGCCAGAGGCACCGATCACCATTTTCACTTTGTCATTCGAGTCTACAATAATTGTGGGTACCATCGACGACAATGGCCTTTTCCCAGGAGCGACGTAATTATTTAGACTCGGTGGGATCCTGAAGTAGTTTACCGCCGACGGGATACCAAAATCATTCATCGCATTATTAAGTATAATCCCGGTGCCCTCACTACCTACCCCGCTGCCAAAACTGAAAGATAATTGTTCAAATAAAAAACTTGTCTTATACTATGCCAGTTAAAATGGCAATCGAAAATACTACGTAGATACTTTGCTACATTAAGATTGAACGTACTAGAAATTAATAGTACTAGTTGCTGATACCGCATCACCATTGGGTGCTAATATTGAAACATGAGCAGTTCCTTGATCTTCTGCTGTACTCATCGTCACTGCTCCATAGTGCGATGGATCATCCCACGTTCTATGATCATCAATGTTCATTCGAGTTTCGTGCGCGAGAATCCTCGACGTCAAGTTCATTGTTAACTTAAACAAAGACGGAGGAGTAAATAAGCTATAAGCTCTAGGTTTTAAGAAGCACTGAAGCCTAATAAACGTGTCTTTTTTTAGATAGTTTGCTGATAAAACATGTTTATCAGTAGATCTTTAACGAAACCGTATACTCGACGTTCTTATCGTTCTCCAAATGAAAACAAAAATTACTGCATCATATTTACTAACTTCCCTCGTGTCGACGAATTCCTTATCAGCCATATCGTTTCTAAACGCGAACGCGTATTTAAACGTCTCTATCAGCCGATGATACGTGAGCGTGGTCTGATCGAAATCAGCTATGCTATCAGCCGTGAAATTAAACTCGTCTATGATATTTAACATGTAAGTAAGAAGACCTCCACTTGAGGGTAATCCGATTGTAAAAACTTTCATCCCGTTGCTGAGATTCGCTTGGAGGGGTTCGTCCCACGTTGCTCTAAGAGTAATCATCAGTTTTAACATCCATCTACGTGATCACACTCGAATGTTATCGTTAGTACCTATAATTGTTCAAGTCCTTCATCGTTATTATTGAGCCTTTCTCTTGCAAATCATCTACTAAAAGTTTGCCCAAAGTTCCGTTATAAAGTTCCGAGGCACCTTTCTCTGCGATCACGCGCAACGTTTTGCAAAATACTTTCGGTTTAATAATCGTTCCAGGTTTGTAAAAGTCATTAGTTTTCGGATCTACGAATAACTCCCTGCAATAAAGATAAAGGAAGATGATACAGGTGCCAGCAATCGTAACTCAGTGCGAGATTCAAGCGAGGTTTACTTCAACACGCGGTCATTGTAAATGTTCTTCGCGTTATATTTGAATCCGTCGTATTGAATTTTTGTCAAATTGTATCCCTCTTCGCAGAGTTCGATCGACGGTTGGAACAAATCGGCCCACGGCAATTTGCCGAAGCGTTTATGCGCTTCCCAATATCCTGCCAACTCCCCGGGAACGGCGATGGCCAATGGACCTGGTGCAGTTTCCTAGTTTTCAATTTATTCGTTCACCGAGAATATAGAAAAAATTACCGAGGAACGACGCTTCTTTTGGTTTCCCTTCGAACATCGTAGCGTTAGCAGCCAGTGGAGCACGATCTCTCGCCGTTAACGTGTACGCGCGTTTCGTGGCTTTATCATAAATCGTCATGACAAACCCACCACCGATGCCCATGCTCTGCATATTGACCAGGCCGTTGCAGATCATTGCAGATATGGTCGCATCCACCGCTGAGCCATTCTTTTCTAGAATCGATCTGGATAAAATTGTGCGAATTAATCATCCTGTCACTAGTCAATAATATTTTCACGTACTTGCCGATAACCGCGCATGGTGGACCATCCGCGCAAACGGCACCGTACTTGAACGTTTTCAATTTACTCCACGATGGTGGTAAGAACGCCTCCGGATCCGGTGGTATTTCCTCATTTTCTTGAATCTCTATGTCGCTATTAGCACCATAGGCTCTGCAGATCACAATTATCGAGGGAATTACGATGACTAATACCAAGACGGTAATTACGATACTTTTCTTGCCGATGTAGGACCTGAAAAAAGAAATAACTCGTTTTAAATTCAATAATCGTTCAAAGACAGAATGCATGATCGACGGGAAATGATTTATATTTTTTACGTAAATCTTCCATGATCATAATATATAGCCAGTGATTCGTACAAAGAACTATTGGAGCTCCGTACCTTATGTTCATTGCATAATAACATCTTACGAAATCAGTTTGTTAAATCGATTATTCTTATATCCTAATACTAATAAAATAATATACAACGATGTTGGCATCGATATGGGTGGAAAATAGAACGTGTCATTATAAGTTCGAATTTCGAATTTGTATTCGACGGCTATGGGTCGTGACTCACTTGTCGAATGGGAGTCTCGCAAAGTGCCGCTTCGCTTTGTCGCGATTGGGCGAATAAGAGCGCAAAAGTCGAGCGGTCCCGACATCGTCCGAATCGAAGGAGTTTCGTTTTTCGTTCATATAGCACTGACGCGCGTCGTTGGTGCTGGCGTACGCGAAGTTGGTGCTCGACGAAGGCGACGAAGTTACGTTTCTTCTCTTCTACAAAGAGGAATCATGAAATGTAACAAAAACGAAGAACAGCATGCTGAAACGTTCTCTGCGATCTCGTATCATCAGCGATGAACAACGACGTTATCCTATTGCATTTCATTTATTTCCATTACTGATTTCGTTTTTATACATTACTGAGCAGTTAAGCCCGTGAATACATACATAAGTCATAACAAGATCAAGCAGGTATACAAAGGAATACAAACGTAAGCTAACGTAAGATAATCAGAACACAACTTAAAGCTAGAAACCGATGATATTAATAGATAATCAGAACACAGATAAACAGAACACAACTTAAAGCTAGAAACCGATGATATTAATTACTTCATTAGTAGTGCATCAACGACCATCGATAACACGTCTATTATAGTAACGCAGTTCAGAACCAACGAGAAACCAAGTTTTGCTTTGTGTTTCTTACTTCTTGGTGCTGGATATTTTAGAGGGCGTCAAAAATTGCGTACTTTTTTCCGTCTATGATGTTCCATAAGGTTGCCACTCTTTAACAATCTCTCCTCGGCGGTGAGTCCTCCGAATCCATCGTGTTACGACTACACGCAACTGTATGTATGTACAAACAAGCACGCGAGCGCGTGCAAAATTTCTCGTTTACCCTCGCTTCAAACCCCGGTCGTTGAACACACACTGTCAACGTCAGATCGACGTTTCTTGATCACCGTTCAAATTCGTATTACCATTCACCGGTCTTTGATTCGATTTATCAAAGATCCTTCGCCATTTCCGTTCGCATTGTGAATAGAATTCACCCATTGGAGAACATACGAAACGTTAGCCTGCGTTAGCCGCATCGCAATAAGGGTGAACGGCGCACCAGCTGAGCGAGGAAAATCAATTTGGACCTGCGCGTTTTACGCGACCGAAATTGTTCCCTCGTCTTCACGCGCACACGCGATTTATTTTCGATTTAAAATGTACCGAATGAAGTAAATGATGTATACAATATTCTTCTCTCTTCCCTTTTTTCAAACACTATAAGGATAGAATGCAGAACGAGACGAGGAACACTCTACAGCAGGCACTGTTTAAGAACGATATAAAATTTATTTTTAGTTTGAGTGAAAACATTCGGTTATACATACACATTATGAATTACGTTTCTGAAACGTTTGCCACAGAAGGCGGTCTTCCGTTCCCAAAAAAGAATTTAATATATACTGAAATATTAGCAATGTTTAAACATTTAGTTTAAAAAAAATGAGATCGATATTTTAATTAGATTCTGAGAAAACAGTTTGTCATTATTCAGTTCTTACATGCTGTATGAGAAGATTATACATAACGAGGGAAAAAATTGATAGTTTCAGAATTATACAGCAAAGGACAATTACGCACCTATTCAACGTAGGATTAAAATGGAACAATAAAATATGCAATTAAGAGGAGGTACATTATCTGGGTCGTAGAACGCACGGGTTGAGCTATCGGGAAGTGGCATGCAATTGCGACAATTTATAGCGGATATTCGACAATTATATCCAACCGCTAAGCACCACTAATGCGATTCAGCCAGCCGCACACATCGTGACGGAAACTCACAATGCGTACAAATGTTCTTTTTATCATCTCACGCCGCATCTTTATTGTTCGTTAATTGTATCAAATCAATGTCGGTATAATTTAGCGGTTGACGAAGAAGAAGCGTCATGCTCAATTTTTAGCTCCACGATCATAGAGAAAAATTTCACGTCCGTAAATTTTTACTACCATGTTTAATAATATAATAATAACAACTTACCGCAGTCCTTTTCGCAACTCCCTCGTGGCCGGCAATTGATTCGTCCTGGGCATCGTGCTCGGTTGTTCGCTTCTCGATTTCCACAAGTGTCTGAACGCCTACGCAAGCCGATCGTCACCCAACGCGGTTCATTTGGTTGCGTCGTATCAACCTAGGAATTCGGACGGTGTCAACTGATGAATGACATCGGGGACACGATTTCGCGTAACGTATAATTATTTATGAGAAAGATAACGCGACGCGCAGACCGAAAAGCACGATCGCACGCGTTCGAGCGTGGGCGCGTGCTACGATTTCGCGTGGACGCGCAACGTGTGAAAACTGCCCGCACGATTCCTGAATTGGATCAATTAGCCGCTCAAAGACCGGGTATTTTTCCGAAGGAACATTCCCATGACGGTCATGCCCGATCACGAACCTAGATCTTCGACACGCACACACGTACGCGGCGCTGTATGTGAATGTAACATATATTTCGATCGTTAAACGTAATAAGAATAACAGCTACGATTGATGTCAATTCCAACGCGATTTACATCATCTTCGTTCCAAATTCGCGTCGATTACCTTCTTTAGGTACGTTTTCTCGACGTCGGCCGTGTCATCACCCGTCTTCTTCTATCGATGCCGCGTAATTTCTTTATCAACTCCCACGAATAATGAGGTATAAAATTGGAAAACAATTTGCACGAGGTGACGGCGGGTTGCTCGAGACGAGGCTTGAAACGCACGCTCCGGCACACGCACGCGGTTTGTCATGTAGCAGCGGCAGCATCTACCTCTCCGATGGGATTGCCGGTCGCTTGCCGCGGCGGGTTTGGAAAGGGATCGTTTATTTGTTGTTCGCCGACTTTCCCCTTATTTGAGTTATTTCGTTGAGCGTGGGATGAATTTTTATCATTTGACTTTTCGGCCAAAGATATTTGATAATTATAAATCATGATTTTGTATTTACCCAAAAAGTGTAGCTTGCGAACTGAATAAAATGTTCAATGCTTGCTAGAACATATTCTGTTGTTTTTATTTTGGACTAACGACATACACTCAATTAGATCGCGATATCTTAATACCATTAACATCGACGTGAACGCGCGAACCCGACAAAGTTCTTTAACGCCGGAATGAGAAAATACTGCGTGCGGTTCCCTTGTACGAGACAAACGAGACGAGATTGCCTCCTTAAGCTCTAATTGACGAATCCGAAAGCAATAGCCCCAGCACGCAGATTAACTATAATCGTAATCCTGCGACTAGTGTAAACAAGCACCATGACAGTGCGTATTAATGATCAAACCGACACAACCGAGTTAAACTATTTACTCGGAACAATGATTTGCAGAATCGACGTCATACATTTTCGTCGTAACGCTTTCATGAGTCTCAATAATCGTAATCAAAAATTGTACCAACGTGTACACGTAGAAAAAGGTTTTACAACAGGACGCGAATCTGATACAGATCTTGTCGACATCGTTTACAAGTGAACCGTCGTTCTAACAACGTTCTCTCTGATTCTTCTTTACAATGTTAGCTCACGTCTTACAAAACAATATATTATCTCCGTTTCACATTTTCAACGATCCTTAAAAGTTAAAACATTTGAACTCGACGAGTGTCCGCGAGACTTGAAACGACACACATATCTATTATACACATTTATATACACACACAAGCACGCGCGCTTTCATTCATCGTCTACAAAATTCAAAACATCAATTCCAAATAGTAACCACCAACATTTAACATCGTTTAACTTAACTTTTAGGTGACTGTTGCTACACCTAAATTATGATTACACCGTGTTTGGTGTGTGAACATGAGTAAACATTGGCCACGATTCACGAACGGCTGTACAAACTTCACTGATAAGACGAGTCCCAACGACGTTCAATGCAAATTTATGGTCGATCCTTACACAGCGGGCGATGCGCTGCGTTTCCGGATTTTTCGAGCATTTGGCCGAGTCTACCAGTCTGTAGACTACACCCTACAGCATATGCTATAAGCATGTTAAAGCCGGAAACTTTGGAGGACCCCAGTGTTAGTTAGCCGAGAATCGGTAGTTCGAGGACCAAAAGTAGGGGTCAGACCTCCCGCTGTTCACTTACGCAGACGAAAAGTTCGATGCGTTTCACTTACATAGATGAAAAGAAAGACATGCGTTTTTTCCGAAAGTACTCTTGCCAATAAATCCTGAGGATTTCATCGCAGAGGCCATAAAATCGACCTTTTCGTCTGTGTGTAAGTGAACAACGGGGTGTCTGACCTCTACTTTTGGTCCTCGAGCTACTCATTCTCGGCTAACTGTCGCTGGGGCCCTCCGAAGTCTCCTACTTTTACATGCTTTTAGTACATGCTGTAACGCTGGTAGACCCGGCCGAAGGCTCGAAAAATACGGAAACGCAGCGCATCGCATCGCATCGCCCGCTCTGTGAGGATCGACCATTACTTGATTTCATGATATACATACATCAATAAACCCGAATCATCGTCCACATTAATCGATCTCCGCATTTCTTTTTCCTAAATTTCGTGACTATTCAAACTGTCAAACCTTGCAATGAAAAACTCATAATGATAATTTGCTATGGTTCTGTCGTTGAAAGATGAGAGATGAGAGATTCATTAGGTAGAGTATTGTGAGTCGAAAATAAAGAATCATTCATCAATTCTAAACTGAATGTTCGTTATCGCAAATCTTTTATGCGGATGTATAATTATGATTCCGTTCACGTTGTCTTATTACATGTGTGCGTTCAACTATAATTCACCGATCTTCATCGATTTGTCGAATTTCCAACTGGGCGAGAACTTTCTCGGGTTTGTCACAAGAACTTAGTCACGAATTTTTGATGATAGGGGCTCTGAACGACGACGAATAACTTTCGTCGCGAGTAATCTACGAGCTGACGATGAAACTTTATTGCGACGAGTCGCGCGACGCTCGTGCACAAACATAATTGGCCAATCAACTGTCCTTACCTCGGACTCTCTACGATAGAACAAGTTTTTCGTTCGATTGTGCTGGTGTCGCAATCTTTAAAACGAAACCGTGGACCCGATACTTGCGGTGGTTGACTCTTAATAAAAACGAAACTGCGTGAAAGCCCGCGATAAGCTGTTCCAAAATTAGATTAAAGCAATTGTAACTGGGGATGGAATCCATTATGAAAAATTGGTCTTTAAACTGTTCGTCGGGGCGTTCAACCTCGCAGAGATATCGAATCCATGCTTGTGTATTAGAAACTGCAACATAGTTTCTCCTGTGGCGTATCAGTGGAAGTATAAAAATATAATTTCAGGAGGATATGTCGATACATCGCGAGTAATATCGAGCATAAGGACGCGCGTCAATCTTCTCTTCCCGAATTAAACATGGCCGACAAGTCAAAAGAATTGACCTCGGTTTAGTTCATAAAAAAATAACATACCTTCTGGACGCTCTAAATGTTCGGACTCGATTGAAAAATTATTTTGAGCGATTGTGCCTCGAGCACGTTGTAACGATTCCCCTGTTGGGGAATGAATAACTTAAGAACAAAAAAGAAAAATGAAAAGGGAGGGAATGGCAATAAATTAGAACGATGAGTAAAGTGGTTTGTTCGATTACTTAAACTTAAGACGGAGAGGTGAGAAGGGGCCTGCGTTGCGCGATCTCTTTGCAATCCTGAACCACTTCCGGTTTGCGAATCGTTTTCGATTTCCGTCTTAATTGCTTGCACTTTTCCATCTGCGGCCCTACCTCTTCTTCCTCCTCCGTGATCTTCTCGAAATTATCATCCTCAGTGCACTTGTCCGCCATTTCCTTCGGCTCGATCTCGTCCACGCTGCTCCAACTGTTCTCACTCTCGCTGTGATCGCGTTCCTTCTTACCATCGCCGTTCACCTCTTCTTTCTCCTTTTCCCTGTAGCCTCCGTTCTCCTGCACAAATTTCATTATTATACAAAACAGCACGGAAATCTATAAAAAAATAAACTAATCAATATCCAATAACTTTGTTTCAGTTCCTACTATCACTATAATCTGAAAAAACGAATTTTTTAAAAATAAAAAGAAGATTTTTTTAATTTAAATTAACGAAAAACGGTAAATTCGTGCCTTCAACTTCTATATCACATGTCCTCTCTTCGAGATTGAGAATCGCCGAGAAGTACAGTTACATCACGTATAAAACTGCTTTTTTTTAAAAGAAAACCTGTTGGTCTCGGTTATCGAATTCATCACCACTCACCATCGCGGCCGGCTTGCTGGCCATCGTGGTGGTGGTCGTGGTAGCTGTGGTGTCTGTGGTATCGCTGCTCTCACTGTTATTGCTAGGCCTCACGCTGAACAGAAGCGGACCTTCTTCCAAATTTTTTCCCCGCGCGAATCTCCTCGACGCGGGCCACACATCTGTTCCGCATTTTGCGCTCGCCTTCGCCTGCAGCTTCTGAGCGACGCCAGTGGTCCAAATGCTCGCCTCGCTGCTTCCTGTACTGCTGTCGCTTCCAGTGCTGCAATGTCGCCACCTTCGCTCTTTAAAACGATAAGATAAATGTACATAAGAATATTTTTGTGCCAATGTTGAAGTTGAATTCAGTGCGTCAAGAGACATGTAATTAACATTAGAATTGTTTCTCGTGTTAGATATACACGAGGAGTCAGTAGGAAATATAGTTTAAAGTATACTTGAATTCGATGGAACACAAACATAACTTATGATACTTCTTACTGATTCATCCTGTGCAATATTTAAAATCTAAAATTCGCTTTCTGAAGAATAAAAATAATTACTGTCGCACGGAAGGGCGTTCACCAGATAAGGTTTCCTCAGCAACGGACTCCCGCCATCCTGGCTCTCCTCGCTGCAAGCCCTCGTAATAAGAATCCTCGGGCTCCTCTTCGGGGTCTCGTTCATTGCTATGGAACATCCAGTGGCCACGTCGCCGCTTATAAAATCGCTCCTATAATGCGGACCCATCAGGCTGGCCGCGCTGGCGCTCGATCTCACCAATTTGCTTTCACCTGCGTACACATAAATTAATTATGATCATAATTACGCGCCTTAATCAATGTAATTAACATTAGAATTGTTTCTCGTGTTAGATATACACGAGGAGTCAGTAGGAAATATAGTTTAAAGTATACTTGAATTCGATGGAACACAAACATAACTTATGATACTTCTTACTGATTCATCCTGTGCAATATTTAAAATCTAAAATTCGCTTTCTGAAGAATAAAAATAATTACTGTCGCACGGAAGGGCGTTCACCAGATAAGGTTTCCTCAGCAACGGACTCCCGCCATCCTGGCTCTCCTCGCTGCAAGCCCTCGTAATAAGAATCCTCGGGCTCCTCTTCGGGGTCTCGTTCATTGCTATGGAACATCCAGTGGCCACGTCGCCGCTTATAAAATCGCTCCTATAATGCGGACCCATCAGGCTGGCCGCGCTGGCGCTCGATCTCACCAATTTGCTTTCACCTGCGTACACATAAATTAATTATGATCATAATTACGCGCCTTAATCAGCGAAACGGTTCGATAGTCGGGGCTTGCCGCGTCCCCATTTCCCATTCCGAGCTTTACGGTATTAACCTGATTCGGACGTCGGTACTCTGAGCGTGTTGCACGACGCCGCCGGCTGCAGCCTGTTGCGGTTAAATCCGAGATTATTGCCGTCGAAGCTGTTTCCGGTTCTGCAGGTGCCTAGTGCAAGGAACGCCTCGCTCAGTCTTCGCTGCAACGGCGGAAAAGGGAAGAAGGATCCGGTACCGCTTCCGGACGGTCGCCGGGATCCAGCGGCGCTCGGCGTCCTCGCCTGGATCTCCTAAATTAGATAGAACCCATTGTGGAGGATCGACCCTTCTCGGAATATTACATTTGGGGGAAAGGAATTTATGGGACGAAGGTAGTAGCTGACTAAAATGAAGGGAAAGGAAAAGTGCTGGGACGTGCGGATTGCCTAACGACGTTGATCAAAATAAAACGGAAATATATATGTATTAACAGTTACTCTAATATCTATGAATTAATCGGGAGATTAATTGACATCGTGATGAAGGAACTTCGAGAAAGAGGATAAGATATTTTTAATAAAACTCTGTTTTATTTATGTTACTTGTTGGAGTTCCGATTTGGTCGCCTTTTTCCGCCAGTAGTTCTGGACGGATCGCCTGAGGGTCTGCGATTTCAATCCGTAAAGGAGGCCGTTGATAGGCGGCGAACAAGCAAGCAGGAGCGAGGCCACCGAAGCAAGTTTCGGGTGATCGTAGAGGTGCGGCTGAATGCCGACGTCGCAGACTTGCCAGAGGATCAGCCCGCAATACGGGAAGTAAAGCAAGTACAACGAACCGACCAGTTGCATTACCTGGAAATTGATGACGCTCTCTTTAATCGAAACCATAATTAAACGTATCAAAATAGCTCGACGTGTTTCCTGATGTATCAAATTGTGTTGTTAAAAAAAAGATTCGATCTGTCAATCGAAACATCTAATCTGCAAATATTTTTAAATAAAATCGTCCTATATCTTTAATGAACGCAAGCAAAGGCCAACTGTTGCTGAACCAGCACTATTGCACGCAATTGCATTTGTAAATGTACAAACCGTCCTGGCAGCGCTGTGAAACCGTGGCGGACTAACGACCGAGGACGCGGTGACAGTCGGCACGAAGAACGGGTTTCGTTGATGGGTGATGGTCGCCTGGGCGCTCAGGGTGACTTCATAAATTGCGCTCGCGATGCGATGACGGTGATAACGGGCGATCCCGAGCACACGCAGATTGCACACGGTTACGAGGATCGCGGGCAATGCCAGGCCCAGGATCGCGTAAACCGCGCCGTAAAGCGCCGCGGCCAAGCCCCACGAGTCGTTCCCAAAATCCGGCGCGCAGCAGCCCAGCCCCGGACTGTATCTGCAGTTGTGAGAACAGAAACGAAATATTCTTTCCATAAAATGTACTTTCATTTCAATATGTGACTTCAGTCTATAATACAGATTTAGTAATCAAATTGTAAAACAAAACTAATCGCCTTGATGCACTGACTATCCAGCGCAATAAACTCAATAAGTAAGTAAGAATCTTATCTAGGTTGCAGCGAACATTCATCACGCAACGAACGACTCGAGAAAAAACCGTGCTTCAGTTTCCTAAAACCATTACGCGAAATGCAGAAATGAGTAAAAAATTTGAATCTCGACGAGAGGCGATTACAATTGCAAATCAGTTTCACGAAGGAAAATGAGCAGATCTGCCATATCTATTACTTTAACGATCAATGTTCAGATGTGCCATCACTAAAACAGACTTCCATTCACGGAGGAAAATGTAGGAACGTACAAGATCATCTGGTTAGAGAAACATTTGTTTTATTTAGTATTAAGAGACATGCTTTAACAATTTGATGCGCGCTTTGAAAGCATACATATAGTCACAGTCGAAAGTATGAAATATTGAAATAAATAATTGTTTAACGAACAAACCTGTAAGGTGGGACCAGGCCCCAGAAGGGTAAGATGCACAAAAACAGGGCCCCTGTCCACGATGCAGCTAAGCCGACCGCAACGCGTCGTGGCGAAACCAATGCGGCGTAGTGCAACGGCGCGGCGATCGCGTAGTATCTGCATAATAGATCCAACAAGTTTCTGATTTGTCGAATTCAGTGATGGGTTCAAACCTAGGGATGGAATTCACTACACGAAGCATTCAAAGAATAAACTCATCATCCGTGTTCTAAATCCAATACAAGCAAATAGGATGTCGAAATCGATACTGAAGTTGATACGAGATTGAATAAATCATCTAATTAGTATAATTTAATGAGCTTCTTCTGGCTGCTGTCTCTTTCAATAACTGCTAAATGATTACGCGACACGTCAGGGTGAATAATGAAAAAAGAGAAGACGTGCCGAAGCAGGGAGGAAAAGGTCGCGACCGGCTGTCGGGAAGAAATGCAACGGTTTTAAATCCGTAGTGAATAAAATATCGTTCGATCAGTCTGAGGTCATGCATCTATGAACTAGCGCTGGAGCGTCTCCCTGTATTTTTATCCATAAGCCCCCGCAGATTCATACTGTTCTCCCCCGAAAAATATTTGTCGTACAAGAGGTGACATTTGTCCTCAGACAGTCTCGCTTATCTATAGCTACTTATCTATAGCCGATGACATAGAATTATGTATATTATTTTATTTTTGGCAAGTGATTTCCATCGTGCATCTAGATATGTACGTGTATCAGCGTCTACGAAAGTAGCGTAGAATCCGTAAAGTTCACAGGTAGCCTAATGACGCATTGTTGACTTGCAAATCCGAAATTCCTTTATGTGACTATAAATGCCATAGCGATATGGCAATTATCCTAACAAGCATCAGAGACAATCTGATCGGTAACAATATAGCCTGCCTGACTATCCACCTGAGTATTTATTAAAACGATCAGTTCGATAATTCTAAGATTAAAAAGACTTCTCAATGGCACCTATACTTTAAATTTATCGGAAGATTCGACATATTTCCTCGATTGTGAATAGGTAAAATGGTAAGGCGACTCCTGTTCATTATCGATGAATGAGACGCGGTCGATATATGGTGACGTTCACGCGTTTCTACCCCTTAATAGGAATCAGACCTCTTTCCCCTTGGGAATCGTAGATACAAGATAGGAACTTGGGGACAGAACGATCTGTCGAAAGGTCTCTGATTGAATCGAAGATCTGGTGTCGACCGGAAAGATACTGTGGCATTGAATGCCGCTGCTATCCCTCTATTGATGCCTTGCGTTGAAAAGCTTGCCAGCTTTGTGCCTCGTAAGGGCGGGTAGAGACTTCGGCACGAACGCGAATGAGGCAACCTGAGGCTAAATGAGTGTAGCAGATCCTAGGCGCGGCAAATAGCCTCGGTATCGCATGCCCTCACTTCGAGTGAACTGTCAATACATGAAGTAGAAAAACTCAATTTGGTTTGCCTCGTTTGGTGGTTGAACGAGGAAAAGTGTTTTGTTTCAATAAAATAAATGATAGTGAAAGAGAATCAAATAATTCCAAATCAATACCAGAAACCCTTGAATGTTACATGTACGGCTATAACAATGTCTCTAAATATTGAAATAGGTTTCACATTTACGAAAATAATTTATTGAACTTCATACGAAAATAATAGGATCGGAAATGAACACAGAATCGTAAAATGAATTTTAGTCACGGAACTTCTATCGTGAATCTGGGACGACTTACCTTGGTTTAAAATTACTCAGCATTCGCATTAACGAAAATAAAACTGAACGGATGAAGAAGGCAGAATATGTATTGTCAAACTTACCGACGATTAAATGGAATTCTTTTTGTAATATTGTTTAAAAAATATGTACCTGTCGCAGTTTAATCCGGTGACGGTCCACAGAGCGACCGGATGCAAAAGGGCCAGTAAGAAACCGTGGAGAACGCACCAGGTGCCAGCGATAGGCCAGGAGCCAGTAGTAAAGATCAGTAATATCAAACACACGGCCGCCTCCACAGCGCCCAAGTGTATTAGCAGCAAAGTATTGGCAGTTTGCGGCTGCTGCGACTGCGAACACACGGTGATCGCGATACACGGTTAAGTCGTTAACGAAAGTTCCTCAAAAGACGATCAAACTTCAGCGTGTAATCTTAATTTTCAGCAACAACCCAGTAATTTAAACTTCTCGGCACGCCACTAACCTCACGCGATCCCTTCCACAAGCTTCCAACTACTTCACGCTCGTGGGCTTATAAATGGATAAAATCGCATGAATTATCTTTAATATCTCGAGCATCGTCAAAAATGGAATAAATAAAAAATCTTGGATGTTCCTAAATATTTCTCATTCCTCCAATGTCATAAAAGTGTGCTACGAGTATAAAGACAAGAATTCGATGTATATCAAAAATACATTTTGTTTGGCATTTGAAATTTGAAAGAAGCATTTCGTGTACGACAAACGTGATCCCAGGAAACAATGGTAATGGCAAATCCGACGGGTGTTTCCCGAAGAAAAGGAACGCGTTTCATGCGACCCAGTTCGTTGGTTGTCGTCTAACGTCCGGCCTTCGATATTACGTCGAAAAGCCCCGCGATCTTTTCCAACCAGTCGTCTCGCGCTATGCTCAAATTGCAACGGTCAGCGAGCAGCAGCACCCACTAAAACGGATCGCGTAAAAGCATAAGGCTATTTCCAGATGGCCACTTTTCCTTCCGCGCGGGTTTCTCATTTCTCCGCCGTGATATGTGTCATGCTTGCCAAAGGAGCGGCCCTCCCTCTTTCAAGGGAGACTTTTTAAAAGGCGAAAGCCTAGCTACGATCTTGGAAATCGTACAGCGTAGAAGGTATCTATTCGTTCCTCTAAGTACGTAATCTTAATACCGTATTAATTTCAATGACGAGATTGAAAAGGATTCTGATACTAAAAAGCGAGGAATTCTATAAACGGATCAAGCATCCTTGTAGTATTTCTTTGTAACATGTACTCTGAAATTTTTTCACACAACTTTAGATGATTTTTATATTTCATCGAAGTCCATTGTAGGTCTACTCTGTCCCCTATAACACGCGCCACATAGAAAACCGATACGCTGTTTGTTCCGGCCGTAGGAACAATTACGAAAAAGGTGAAGACTTCGTTTGGATAGTTTATGATAAGTAGGTACGGGAATGTTATTTTTGATGGCTTAAACTAACATTTCGAGCATTGTCATTTTGTCTACAGCGAGTTGTACATTTTGTACGTTTTTTACCTCTTTTATCTCGTACCTCAATAACCGACCTTGCCATAAACTAAGGTTTTAAAAGGTATTAAGCAATAGGTCGACTTAGTCCGTCATGTGGCAACAACCTGGAAGAATTTTCCGCGTTCGTCCGGTCCTTTCAAAGGTTCCACATGTTTGGGGAAACTCAATTCCCATCTCGGTTCCCTGTAGGGGGGACTTTTTGAACATTGCGAAATGCCTTGAAGAAAAGGGGAACCAATCGAAGGACCAATCATCCCCAAAAGTTTCTTCCAAAGCAATGAAGGGCAACATAGGTTTGGAAAAAGGCTTGAAGAGCAAGGACAAGCGTTCGTGTCCTGATCGATAATCATCCGACAACGAGCATTTGCGTCGAAAATGTTCTCATCAAAAGTTTCATGCGTATTCATAACCGACGATCATTCGTGTCATTAGCCGATTGAACTAATTGCACAAAATTAATTTGGCGTGCAATTTGTTGTACAAAGCAACACTGTTAACTAATTCGTACAATGTTAGTAATCTATTATTCGCAAACGATTATTCTCCTATCCCTTGAGATCGTAAGTAGCCACTAAAATTCTTCAAAAACTCGCACACCTTTATCCATAACATTACCTCGGCAACTTATTTCTACATGCAAGTACTGAATACTTCTCATTGAATTTTCTTATCTCCGGAGTTCGGTATTTACCTGTTTGCCCAGTCCGAGGACGACGAGTAGAACGTAACCGTTCAGAATAAGACCCAAAGCAGAAACGAGGATAAGAGGCACGCCAAAGGCCCAAGGGACCATTCCTCTTTCTCCCCGCGAGGTATGCCTGTTGTCGAAGATGTTGACTCCGTGTGATAGAAACCGAGCACGACGTTTCTTTGTTCAGGTATCGAAGCTCTGTCCCATGATTCGCAGCGTCATCGTGGCGAACGCACCTGCAATATCCATCATAACCCCGTGTCAATCACCCTATTCAAATAATCAAATCAAATCGCATTGAGCTCCGATGTTCAACCCTAATTACTCAATCAGTTATGCTAATATCATTGCTACACGGTATATAATAGATATTTGCTATAGGAAAGCTGAAACTGATTTGCATGATATGAAATCATGAGAACGTGATGATAACCAGTGGTTGGTGCGATGGATTCAGATCTGCTATCATGTATACTTTTTAGTCAATATGCGATACGATTTGAAGTATGATTAAACTACGTGTTTTGCTATTTGTTGAAAGTATAATATCTGGGATAAGTGTTACAATTTTTACCGTGTCTCTGCCGCGGGTATCGATTCAGAAACGATCGGTTTGGCCAAGGCCGTTACATCAGGACACGAAAGGTCATCAGTCGTGCGACGACGTTCACCGCCAAATATGTCAATTAACGTGGCCCAATACCGCAGAGACATATTGAATAATACATCAGTCGTATTGCAGAAACAAATACGGTAACAATCTACTTCCGATTAATATGAAATACTGCATTCTAATACGGGTCGTTATTTCGACCGGATAAGAGGCGCGCATACATATGAAATATGGAATTGCCGATGGGCACGGAGAGAAAAGTCGATCGCTGTGTAACGTCGTTATCAGTTCGATGATCAAACGGGAATCAAAGTTTAGATGGGAAGAAGAAGCGTTTTTGTGAATTCGATGGTTGCAAGGCGATTGTAAACCCACAAAGGTCGACGATGGAGGGAAGATGTGATTTTTCTATTGCTTGTATTCGTGATTGGTTTTCGCGTCTTCAGGGAGCTGTAGGAGTATAACTGAAGTTCAAAATCAAACCTCGGGGAGAAATTAATCTCGGATCATTAAAACTCAAGCATTAAGTTCGGATTACTTCTTTCTCATCGAACTTCAAAATATAAAAAAATGTGTAATTTATAATAATGCCACGTTGCAATAAACGTTCTATTTTTAGTTAAATAAATATTCTACTTTTTGTCTACTGTAGAATGTCAGGTGAAACTAGAGTTGTTATCAACGGTTTATCAAAACCGAATGCTAACAAGCTTTGATATTGTCATTGCCAGAATAACATAGTAGTCGATCTTCAAATAGGATAACTGCTAATGAAAAGTACAAATGACAGCTCAAGGCAACTCAACTGTTGACTAATTTGCTATCTATTTGCTACGCGATGCCCGTGACTAATGCGTGATAAGAAACTCATAACATTTTTACATTTCTTATATTTGAAAATAAAAGATAGCTCTTCCATGTATGTAAAATAATTCAAATAATAATAATTGGAACTTAATTTTAAACATATTACTTACGACATCAAACAGACAGACACAAACAATTATTTAATACAATTGATATTCATCGAACTGGATTGAGATCGCAAGGGGCACTGTCAATCGCGATGAACAATTGTTCGACTAACCGATCATGGTACGCACACGTGGTGACACGTTGTGACCACTGGAGAACGTCGACTCGAAACAAGAACAGATTTCGCTCAATTATACGCATAATGTCGCGCAATTCTCCCCGGTGAATATTATTTTCCGGATCATGAACCGGAGAACTAGTCGGCAGTATAATTTGGTTACGCTGCCATTCAGGCGGTTCCATTATCGACCATTAGCCGGTTTCAGCCTTTATACCAAAACAACCCCCAAACACTATCTACTTCAATCGTTTAGCTCCTTGTTTCAGCAGCCACGAGATTTAATACACACTACTGCTAGACACTGTATACTCGCGCAGAACGGCTGTTCATTTACGTGACACACGGCATTTTTGTCTCAGATCAGGAATTTCCTTCAGTAGTGAGAAAAGAAGATAAGTGAAAAAAGAAATTTGGGACCAAAATCGGATTTCACTTGAATTTGTTCAAATATTTAAATCAATTCGCAGACTATTGATTATTCTCTATGTTACATTTTTAAAAATACTGTTCTTATCAAAAAGAAAAGAAGAGCTGATATTAAACAATCTTGAAACGAAAATCAGGCGTTAATTAAATTTACTTTGCTTAACAGACAGGCATGATTAGATTGATTAATTTATAGCCGGCCTGTGGAAACGTTCGCAAATTATTAATTTCTAGAAGCCAACATAATAGTGTATTATTAACTTAGCCAGAGTGGCAGAAGGGTATAATTAACAAAATCCGTAACAGCAAGTAATATTTTAATTTACTTATAACTATAGACATGAACCGTAGAATTTTCATTCGGAATCAGCGTTTTATCAATTCGCAACATATTTGGAAAAGTAGAAACGCCACGGTAGGTGTTTCTCTTTCTTTCTTACAAAAAACCAATTACTTTGTGTTTGAACAGGGAATTAAACCAACCCTTGCGAGTCAGCGTTTTAAGAATAGAAGCGATAAGATTCACAGGTTCTCAAGGCCGCACACAAAATGAGGATTCCTTTTACACGCGAAATACACATATATAGAATCAAATCGTAGTAATAGGTAGATAGTTTCGCCTCTCTGCATAAAAGATTTGTCTAACAATTCTGTTGTGCTCCAATGTAGGAGTAAATGTAACAATTGTTAAGTAGGAACTCCAAGAACTTTAATCAGACGGTATAGCTCTGTACGTAAGTACGAACTGCGGAAATCTGCCAAAACGTACATCTTTTCTGGTCTTTTATATCTAGTCAGTATGAGTACGTGGGCTAATGGTCAAAGCAGGGTAGGAGTGGGGATGTTTGGGATAGGATGAGTAAAGATGTTTTGAGTAGTTTTAGGGTTGTTTGTCGCTGAGTAACATTCGTTATTCAAGTTTTTGAGTATGTTTAGGGTTATTTGTTGCTGAGTAAAACCATATCAATACTAATAAATTAGTTAGTCATCGAACAATTCCAAAGTATTAGACATCGTAGAAATTTTAAAATGTTAACACCGTCCATCTTCATTCATATTGAATTCTCTATAAATACAAAAGCGTTCGTCGTTCCTTTATCGCCGAAAAGTCTAATAAAAATCGTCGTTCCTAACAGCCGGCTTGGAATAACTAATCGTAAAACTTTTAGAAACTCGTGTCTCGTCAATAGGCCAGGCTACGTGTCGCAAATATCGAACCGTTTCCAATATGTCAGGGGCAATTTTAAACAATCCGGCCAAGCAAGGGAAGACAAACACAGCAGCGCGACCCGTCGAAAGTTTTTTCATTCATGCTTTTCTTCTCTCTCGTCGACAGGGAAAGAGCGACTGTGACGAAAGTGACGTTTCGCATGATTATGCGCGCTGAGCACGGATTACGAATGCAAGGGGAAACCGTCGCGAAACTGCGTACCCTGCCATCAAATTTCACCGCTTTTTTAGGTTTCCATCTGTTTGTCCGAAACATGCAGAGTAGAGTACGTATTTACCGTACGTACCGAGGAAAGTCTGGTTATAATAGAGCCTCTTCTGAAAAGGTCGGACTTCGCACAAATATGCCAGACTTCTGTTATTTGATTTTCTTCCCCAGCTGGCTAACAGCTGTTGTTTTACAACAGATAATATACCGAAGGAAAATAAAATACATTTCCTTACTAAATTTCACTACTGCCTTTAAAGGAATTTCAAATGTTTTTATAAAGAATCTAAACCTAAACAAACTCTAAGCAAAATCTAATCATTCTCTTTATCAAGTTGAATTCATATCTCTTTAGATAAACTTTTTCCTTTAAATGAAGAAATCCTCGAATGGTACGATTTTATTAACAATATATAAAAAACGAACGTTGAAAGAAAAATTGCATCAGGTCAGCTTACGAAAAAAATTGTTGTATGCTCGCCAGCACCACGTTATCAGAATTTAGCAAATATTTTCCGGAGCGCAAAGGCCCGTATACTTTGCGGCAAACCAACCTTATCGATCTTCGTCGGCTACGTTTCTTCGCGTTCGGATGCACCCTTTTGACTCCCCAAGTGCAAAGCGGTTCGCGCAACAAGTACACGCTCTCCAACGCTAAATGACACTCGAACCTGAGGTTCCAAACATTTCAATAAGATTTCTCACGCCAGGCTGGAGAGAACAAATATTCTCAACGTTGATTCCATTTAATATCTGATTCGATAATGTTATTTTTTGATGTCACAATTTAGACTGTCAAAATACAAAAATACTATTTTCTAAAAAAGACGAGGCTAGGAAGGACAATATACAACGTATGGGGCTGATGAATCCCAGATGCCCAGGGATCTACAATGTAGACGACAGGACTCGATAATGAAACGCCTGGTTCACCATGGACAATAATGGGCCAACCTCAACGAGCGGGCGAGAGGACGAAGAGCTTCTTTGACAAGACACTTTTTTCAGGATTGACAATGAGCAGTATCAGTAGTTCCGTTGGTGAATTGTCGCCTTGGATAAAATCTTTCATTTTCGTTTATTTCAAATTGAGAATGATTTATCCGCGACTGACCGTACTTTACAATTTACAGGTCATTAATTTTTAATAAATAACACCATTCTTATTTACATGCAGTAATTAATTACACTGTGCGAGAATTGGATATTTAACTAATAAACATTACATATTTGTCAAATAATTTTCATCTGACTGCGAGCGAATTGAACTTGAATTATCACTATCGATATTTGATTAAATTCTGCATTAATATCTCCACTTTCACTAAATACGCAGCCATACGACAATATTTTAAACTGGAAACTAGATGAAGCGCAAGTTGTTAATTCGATTGTATCGTGTAATAAGGCTTAATTGTGTTCATTAGCCTTACCATGGGAGACAGAGTATCTACAGAGAGTTTGCCAACACTTTGAGCAATTTACACGTTAAGTAGCTGCTCGGTGAGTTTCAATTTAACTCCCGTTGAGATTGCATTAAGTAAAAGCAACCGAGTTACTAGGATATTAACAGCTCCAAGCGAGAAATTGCATCTTAACTAGCCCCTAAAATCTCTGCTATGTCTTCAGAATTTACTTACTTAGACCGAAAAAGGTGATCGAT